GTCGCGTCGCATCGTCTCATAATAATGTTTAAAATTTTTAAAATTATAATTATACTAATTTATACTAATAATTACCTACCTATAATAAACTTCGAGTTCATAAGATGATAAGTCGATTAAAAAAATAAACATTCTGTCTAGCCTAATTATTAATGTATGTATAACTAGCGGCCGCCCGCTTCTTCGTACGCGTGGATCCCGTTTTACCCCCTTAGGAGTAAAACGGGATCCATGAATTTCGTAAAATCATTTCTTAGCGGATGCCTACGTCATAACATCTACCTGCATGCCAAATTTCAGCCTGATCCGTCCAGTGGTTTGGGCTGTAGGTTGATAGATCACTATGTCAGTCAGTTAGTCAGTCAGTCACCTTTGAGTTTTATATATTTAAAGAAGATTTCTTTCGCATTTAACCCATTCAAATTCTTCATGAATACAAATACCCCACAGATTTGTTAAGGGCTTACACTTGCGGGGTTGAAATTGGTAAAAATGGCCGGTTTCCTCAGCGTCCCGTGAAAAATCTGCCATATATGTCTCACTCACTTGCTATTAAGTTGCTATCAGTCTTAATTTTACGCACCCAGGGTCCATATTAAAGTGATCTTGATCACTTGGTTGGAGTTTTTCTCACTTTTCATAGAATAATAGTTCGAGTAAGAGAGACGATTATTATTATTTTCCGCCCGCGTGGAATTTTGTCTGTCATAGAAAAACAATATCGCGCGCGTATTTGCTCACCGTTTAGACCTACCCTGGACTACGACAAACATTTTAAAACCAAAATCAGCTCAATCGGCCCAGCCGTTATCGAGTTTTAATCAGACTAACGAACATCAATTCATTTTTATTTATACAACGTGTCCCAAAATTCAAGGATAAGCCGGCGCCGCAGGGTGGACATAGTCATGACTGCATTAGGAAAAATAAGAAAAAAAATCTTTATTTTTTAAGTTACACAATAACTTATGAAATTCGTCGAAAATTGACACCCTTAATGATATTTTACATTACCACGACTACAATTTTTCAAATACTTCAGTTTTTTTGTTTGTATCGGCAACTTAAGTAGTGCTGCTGTCCACCCCAATTCTTAAAACCCTGAGAATCCTAGTAGTTTTTACACAAAAGTTAATCAAAATATGATATTTCCTTAAAATTTTGAACGATTTTTACTTACACTCGACTTTGACTCGTCGTTTTGTAAAAAAACAGTATGAACACTACTGCGGCAACATTTTTATAAAGTTGACGCAACTATCCAAGATTCCGAAATGGTATAATACTATAAGAAAACTATTCGCAAAAAAGATATGCGTACCATTTTTACAAGCATTTCGCTTGTAAGTTAGTATGAGATAAATCTTGCAACTGAATTTAAAACCAGTTCTCCTTAACCAATTGAGCTGAAATTTGGTATACTTGTGTAAGTACGATGACAATGCAATATTATGGTACCATTGAGCTGGATGGAGTATGGAGGTGGCCATAGGAACTCTTAACGAAACGGCGGAATTACATCTAGTTTGGGTTCGTTGGACTTGTCTTTTCGAGCACTTTAGTGCTAGACGATGTTCAGGGTCCTGATGATGAAGTCAAGAGGTGGCAGGAGCTGGCCATAGGAACTCCTAAACGAAACGGCGGAAGCTTATCGAGGTTGGGTTCGTTGGATTTGTCTTTTCGAGCACTTTAGTGCTAGATGATGTCCAGGGTCCTGATGAAGAAGTCAATTATAATTTTCAAACGAAGTCAAGCTTGTTTTTAAATAATCTCATGGCCTAAGTGCTCGGGAAGACAAATCCAACGAACCCAAACTCGATAAGCTTCCGCCGTTTCGTTTAGGAGTTCCTATGGCCAGCTCCTGCCACCTCTTGACTTCATCATATGATGCTCAACCACAATAAGGAAGCTAGATGTTAGTGCTTCCTTCCGAGCGGGTGTTGTGCTCGGGGACCAAGGTCCGATTTACACCATCTTGGTTTGTCTATATATACTTTGGCAGGATCTAAAACTCCGTCACCGCGATGCAGGTTTGTATGAGCGGCGGAGTGTGCCATAGTGAAGTAGTGATAGCGCCATCTGTTGGTCACTAGTTTGTAGTGGCGTCGCCACATATCATAAGGGGTGTAAATTTTCGACGAATTTCATAATTTATTGTGTAACTTAAAAAATAATTGAGATATATTTTTTTCTTATTTTTCCTAAAGCAGTCATGACTAGGTCCACCCTGCGGCGCCGGCTTATCCTTGAATTTTGGGACACGTTGTATAGATAGATTACTCGAAATCTAGTCCTGTTCATTACCTATTACTTGGACTGAGTTGCACCACTTAATTTTAGTTAGGAGTTAGACAGATTTTTGACGTTTGCTAAGTTAAAAAGATGGTGTAATCCAGCCTTAATGGCAGAATGTTACGCCACTTGAAGTTGTGTTAGTATAAATATTAGTATTCATGACGCTTACAATTTGTTAACATAATATAAACTGGTAATCAAATTATTTATTATTTTATCCATACATTTGCAAACTAAACTCTATCTTTAGAAAAAGTTATTTTTATCACCGATGTTTTCAGCCTCTTGAAGGTAACATTTTATAGGAGCAGGTGCAAGTTTGTAGTACTATAAGTTATTGTTAAAAACAGCTTGTGTTTGAGAAATGGGGTGTAATTTTGTAATAAAAAATATTCTTCCACACTGAGGGTGTTACGACGGGATTACGACCTTGCTGTAAAGCTTTATGTACCACTATAAGTGAAGAAATGTCTTAATCAGTCGTACAGCTTAAATTGCCGGGCACTTTCTTCATGTAAAAAAATATTCTAGTATTTTTAAATTTAAAGAATAGTGCCAGGGCCTGGACCAAGTCTGGACACTTTTTTTTATGATGAAAAAATGCGTGAATCGCATACCTTCCCGGCGGGGACAGGGTAGGTTATGTGGGGCTTACTAAGTCAGAAGGACGAGTCATACCCACTAAAAAGACCCCGGTGCTCCGTCACTCACCAAAGTGGAAGGAAACTGTGGGTTTCCGGACAAAGCCTTCTCTACCACAGCCGCTCCCGTCGATTGCCCGCCTGCACGGCGGGCCCTACAAGCCCCCCAGGACGGGGGGCAAAAGTCTGGGCAATTGGTCCAACTTCCATACATTTTTTTTTATTGGCACTATCCTTTGTGTACCTCTAATATCCACGGGAAGAGTTAGAGTGGTCTTATTTTACTATTTTAGAATAATACGATCGCTCTTTCCGTTGATGTCATAAATGGCGACTATAATAATATTAGGTCAAATTTGCGGACATCTAGTTTTCCCAAACCATCTGGAAAATGTATAATGCAATTAAAATAATCGATCTAAAATCAATAAATAAACATTTGAAGTTTAGGGCTGCCGCAGAACACCAGCGATATGTTCTGGGATCTACTGACCTGCATAACAAAATTTATTGTGCTGAGCAGTTCTCATTTTGGTTCTAACAAAGTGTTTTTTATTTTAGTTACGAACTGTTTTTTTCTCCCTTTTTCTCTTTCTTTCTTTTGCATAGGTATGGTGTTCTTTTATCTTACAACTTTTTACAAAAAATATTATAAACAATGAATAAAAACATAAATGAACTCACTTGCTCCTATTGGCTCCGTGCACGATTACAGCGCCAACTAGCGTCCACAACTTTGTGGGTTCTGTCACATTGACATTTAGGTCGTATATTTGTGAAAAAATATCGAAATGAAAAAATAAACTAATAAATTGTTGTGATACCACGATTTGGGTGGAAAAAAGGTTTTGAAATCATTTTGGTCATTCAAATCAAATGAGGTAAGTCCCATAAGTGTGTTTAATTTTGATTGTATCAGGGTTTGTTTACTTCATTTATAGTTGTAGTTTTACAGTAAAACAAAAAGAAAAAGCTACTTTAACGGTTTCATTATATAACAGTAAATATATTTAAATGTTTCTGTATCGCTAGTAATAAATTAAATATCGTTTTCAGATCGAAATGAGTATCGTTTTGAAGACCGGGTTTGTGAGAGTTACAATATCAAATTCCAACCACAAACCGTATTTAAAGGAAAGTTGTTGGTATTGGCTGGACAAGTCCGAGATGTAGAAGAATTAAGAACAAAACAAGGGCAGAGTTCAATAATTCACGCTCTCATCATAAGGCAAACATCTGTGCACAACAACTACTGTGACTCATTTTTGTACTACCACGTTGTATAGTAAGGGTGGAAAATTGGGGATGAACTTTTTTATAATATACATTAAGAATATGGTCTCAATGTACTGCCTACCTTCAGTGGTAACATCAAGGTAATAATTAGTTAACTAAAAAGCAAGAAATAAGTTAAATTTTATAAAAAAAAAAACCGACTCCAAAAAACCTACACTAAAAAAACATACGGGTCGAATTGAGAACCTCCTCCTTTTTTGAAGTCGGTTGAAAAGTAGAATAATAATTACTAATTACCTACTTATTTATTAGGACGAATGATTAATATTTATGTAGGTATACCATGATTGATACTTTTGGAGTCGGTGCAGGCAAACTTTACATGTTTCATAATCTTGGCACCGACTCCAGAAGTATCAATCATGGTATACCTACATAAATATTAATAATTCGTCCTAATAAATAAGTAGGTAATTAGTAATTATTATTCTACTTTTTAGTGTAGGTTTTTTCACTATCAAAAAATGGCAAAGAAAACATACATTTTTGCAGTTACAGTAGAAAAAATCCTGAATGTTTAAAAAAACATAATATTGGTAATAGAAACGTGATAGCATTTAGTGATTGTAGATGGGGCTGGTGTGAGAGAGATACAGTAAGGAAGAGTGGTAATCGGATATGCAAGTTTTAAAAAATCCTTGTTTTTAGACCTTGACACAAGGCAATAGTTTAAAATAATGTGGTTACTATACTACCATTGAGCGATCGAGGGTTAACAATTAACATCACTATTTTTCACGAGATGGTATCAGAAATAAAATGGCAGCATGCTCAGAAACGTAAGTTTATTCAGTCTTAGGGACGACCGAGCGAGACGGCGGGGCGTCGAGACTAGATGCGTGCGCGTCGGCGGCGGCGGCGGCGGGGTCGGGCGGCGCGGGCGCGGCGGCGGCCGGCTCGGGGTCGGCGCGCCAGTCCAGCGCGCCCGGCGCCCAGATGGCGGCCAGCGAGCGGAACGGGTCGTAGGCGCGCGGCGCGGGCGGCGGCGCCGCGAACCCGGGCGGGGGCCGCACGCCCGCGAAGCCGCCGCCCCACGCCCACGCGCTCGAGCCCGGGCCCGTCCACAGGGATCCGTATGCGTTCATGCCGGAGTTGTCGTCTGAAAACATTCGTCGATTCTCATTTTACAGTGTGTTCACACATTATTTTCGCACCGCAAGATCATAGGCAAACTGTATTCACAAACATTACTATGAGGTGATCTCACAGTGCGCGTGGACGCACAGTACAGTGGTACACGAACTAATCACAGAGCGCTATTCAACGCTGTGCGTTCGATTTGTTGCTTCACTTATGCAAGCATTTGTGAATACGAGCGATAATCTGCGAGTTCGTAGGTCGAAGCGGGCGAAGGGTGACTCACCGAAGTCGTTGCGGTAGTCGGGCTGCACGGGCGAGTAGGCGGGGCGGTCGCGCGGCGCGGGCGACGGCGCGGGTGCGGAGGGCGCGCGCCAGGCGGGCGCGGGCGGCGCGTCGCCGTTGAAGTAGAACAGCGACTGGTCCGCCGCGCGCTCGCGCTCCGCCTCCGCGCGCCGCCGCACGTCCGACCCGATGGGCGGCAGCGGCGCCGCTCCTGCATCGGGCGACGCGGTTATCGATTTTTGTTCAACTAGTTCAACATCCGAAACGGCCGAAATAGACGAGAAATAGCAATAAAGAATTGAATTAAAAATTGAAAATAATTTTAATTTAAAATAAATTGCGAGATATGTAAAGTCTGGTCCGTATATTGCTATCGCGACTGTGCGACGGGCGCCCGCAGTGAGTGTGCGAGCGCAATAGCAACATAATTACGCGCGAGCGATAAGGATGGGTAGCTTGGGGTCATTAAATTCTACGTGCTCACGGACCAGGCTTCAGTTGGCGGCTGATTCGCTGTGAAACGACGTATTTGCAATCTACTGTGCAAAGATGCGTTCGAGCGTTTCGTATTAACATTTTCCATTCTCCCAACATCGACGCAACGCGACATCATAGATTTTTTTAATTGAACCAGCGCCAGCAGCCGCGGCGGCGAGCTGGCCTCCCGCCGCGCCCGGGTCGCTAGCCGTGCGTCCTCCGCTCTGAAAGATACAATACTGATTGAATTAAAATTATTTATTTGCATAAAACATGGTACATTTCAAGTATTATCTTGTTACGAGAATAACATATTTCATCGACATATACAGGGTGGAAACGTTAAGTGATCTCACTTGATTATTTCTAAACTATACAAGATATCGAAAAACTGATTACTGATTCTGAAAGTGCTTCACAAGCTCTTTCAAACGGTACAAATAATAGGTTACATAATAAACTGGATCTATCCGAAAATTAAATGTTTTCAGCCTCCATACTAAATGTATGCCAGTCAAACAAAATCAGAAGTATTTTTTTTTATTAAACAATAAACACTTAAAATGGACTCGTAATTTGCATTCTTATTTAAAATTATTCATGGAAAACATTGGTTTTAGGCTTTACTTGCTATAATATTATCAAGACATGAGTGCCATGACTGTGGCTGTACTAAATGTATGGAAGCTGGAAACATTGAATTTTAAGATGGATCCAGTTAATTTTGTAACTTATTATTAGTATCGTTGGATAGAGCTTGTGAAGCACTTTCAGGATTAGTAACCAGTTTTTTAATATCTTGTATAGTTTTAAATATTATGTGGTTTTACTAAATGTATGGAAGCTGAAAACAATTAATTTTCGGATAGATCCAGTTAATTCTGTAACCTATTATTGGTACCGTTGGATAGAGCTCGTAAAGCACTTTCAGGATCAGTAACCAGTTTTTCGATATCTTGTATAGTTTAGAAATAATCGAATGAGATCACTTATCGTTTCCACCCTGTATGTTGAAGTAAGGAACTTTCGGATTCATCGTGGAGGCGGTCACTCCCGGAGTTGTGACGATGCCAGATGACATCATCATCATTTCAGCCATAGGACGTCCACTGTTGAACATAGGTCTCCCCTAATGCCTTGTATGTTGTCCGGTTGGTAGCGGCCTGCGTCCAGCGCTTTCCTGCTATCTTTATGATGTTGGTCCACCTTGTGGGTGACGCGGCCTCTACTCCAGAACCATGCTGCCCCATCAGCCGTCAATTCTGCATACTATGTGCCCTGCCTATTGTTACTTCAGCTTGCTAATTCATCAGGCGGGCTATATCAGCGACTTTAGTTCGTTTACGAATCTCCTTTCTGATTCGATCTCGTAAAGAAACACCGAGCATAGCCCTTTCCATAGCACCTTGTGCAACTTTGAGCTTCTGTATAAGGCTTTAATAATGAAAAAATTACATAGCGTTGCCGTATTTAAAAAAAAAATACCTTAACACTGCGAAAAAGCGAATATCAGATCAGGAGTAAAATTGAATAGGCAGGGCGGCAGCGCACCTGTTCTCTGGGTCGATGGGCTGGCGGCGCGGGCGCGGCGGGCGGCGCGGCGTGGCGGGCCGGTCGGGCTCGTCGCTGTCGTCGCGGCCGGGCTCGTCGGCGCGCGACGAGTCCGACGCCAGCGACGAGCCCACCGACGACTCCGCCGACGGGCCCTCCTCCTCGTCGCTCGAGCGCCGGTCCGTGGGCGTCGGGGGAGACGCTGATCTGCAATTCGAGTACGCGATCATTTAAGATTTGATGATTTAAGCATCGTCGAATAAATGTACTGTTTCAATTCCCGTTCGTCACATATTACAAAACGATTCTAGAATCGAGAGTGATCGCGTCAAAAATCGCCTCATCTATTAATAATGCATATATGCTGTTTGTTTTCCATAAAATAAATAAATAAATAAAAAAATCCTCGAGAAGTTTTTACAGACTGAGAGGCGCAGTACGAGTGGTGGATCTTTTATTTGGTAGATCGACGATCTTCTGAAAGTCGGGGGAAGCACCCGAACCCGAAAGTCATTCAATGTCTAATGAACGAAGCTTGACCTTAATTGGTTGAGTTTTTATGGCGGTCAAGTTGTGGATTCTGGCTACATAGGAGTTGCAGTGATGGGAACGAGAGGTGGGAATAGTAATGAACGAAGCTCACCTGTCCCGCTGCTCCGGCTCGGGCGGCGGCATGGCGGCGGCGGCGTCGGCGTCCTCGCTGGAGCGGTCGTCGTCGGCGGGCGCGCGGCGCAGCACCTCGGCGCGCCAGCACTCGAAGGCGCGGCGCTCGGCCTGCGGGTCCAGACGAGCGCCAGCGCGGCCAGCGCCAGCAGCACGCCGGCGGCGCGCAGGCCGGGCTCGAAGGGCGGGCGCGGCGCGTGCGGGCCGCAGGCGCGCAGCAGGGCGGCGGGCGCGTGCGCGTGCAGCGCGAACTCGAGGCGCGCGGCGTCGGCGCGCACGTGCAGCGCGGCCGTGACGCGCGCCAGCGTGTAGTCGGCGGTGAAGGCGAGGCGCAGCGGCCGCGACTCGTTGGGCGCCAGCGAGATGGCCGCGCACGGCTGCAGCCGGAAGCCGCGCGCCTGCAACGCGCTCTCGATTAGCGTTGGCGGGAGACGAGTGATGATAAAAATAATGTGAAAATTATCAATACTCACTTATGATAATTTCTACGACAGAACAAAACAATTTATTAATTAACTACAAATCTATTTGAATTTGATCATGTAGTAGGAAGAAGTGGCACTTTATAGCATTGAAATCTAAAATAAAAATGTAAAAAAGACGATCTCTCGTCACCTGGCAGGGCTGTCCGGCGAGGCGCCAGTCGCGCAGCTGCAGCGGCACGTCACCCGTGTTGTGCAGCGACAGCGCGCGCCGCACCACGCCCGCCTCCACGTCCGTCGGCGACGCGCACTCCGTCACCTGCGCACGCCCACACGTCACTACTGGCTCGCTGACACCTCTTAATTGCGTACGCGAGTTCGAAAACACATTCAAAGACAGTAGAATAGGGCATAAGAACGAGATCGCAGTTACCTCAAATACTATCGGCGCGCCGGAGCCGGGCCGGCGGCCGCCGAGCTCGAGGCTGGGGTAGGCGCCGCGGCCCCACACAGGAATGATCTCCACAATTGTCAAATTATTTCTGAAAACGAAGGAATCGTGTCAGAACAAAGAAAGCAAACGAGAAGATGGAATCGGAAACTATGATAGAAATGGAGAATCGTCAATTCATGATGAGATCGGAAAATGTTAACGCAACGGTCATCATCATCATCGACAGCCCTTTACAGTCGACTGCTGAACTACGATATGAGCCTCCTCCACTATAGTGAAGTGTTTTGTCATCATCCCCACGCTCGGCAGGCGGGTTGGAGATCGCAGTTTTAAAGAGAGATGTTTATCAGAGAGCGCCGCTGCCCGTTCTGTTTGATGTGTATTCCTTAAGTCGCCTCTTACGACAGCCGCGGGTAGAGTAGGAGTTGGTGACAAATGTATTCTACTCTGCCGTCACCGCACGGCTCAGCGCAACGGTAAAGTCGAATAATACGTATAAAGCCTGGTCCGTGAGCACGTAGAATCCCGTCCAATGACCCCAAGCTGCCCATCCTTGTCAATTACGCGCGAGCGATAAAGATGGGTAGCTTGGGGTCATTGGACGGGATTGTACGTGCTCACGGACCAGGCTTTAATAGGTACGCAAGACAACGTCATCACCTCAGGTACAAGTAGGCGGCGAGCGGCGCGGCGCGCGTGGGCGCGAAGCCGAGCGTGAGGTCGAGCTCGGCGCCGGGCGCCAGCAGCAGCACGGGCGCGCGGGTCGCGTTGCCGGCCGCGTGCTCCGCCACGCCCGCCGCGCCCGCGCGCGCCTGCCACGAGCCGATCGAGAACGCCTCCGCCGACCACACGCACTTGTGCTTCTTGCAGAACGATTCCAGGCCCTCCACGCTGCGAAATATATTTTTTTATTATTAGTAATTTGTTATTATAGCCTAACCAGGAACATAAAAACCCTGGCATAGAGGCGCGTCAATTGCATTTGATAGTGCAACACTGAGTACAGTCGTACCTGTGTTAAATTAATAGGCTAACTTTATGTATCAGGATTCAGGATTACGGGCTAAATTGATATTTTCATAAATTAACGAAAAAATATTATTATAAGTAACCTGATTTAAATAAATTAAATGAAACCATCAATCGAGCAAGACGAATTTATTTTATTATTCATCAATAATCAAATTCAGAACTTGAATATTCAACTGCAATGTCTGCTCATGAACGCTTCAAACTCGGTACTTCTTTCCCAATCCTATAAAATTAAACACTTAGAAAGTGACAATTTTTTTTAAAAATAGGTAGTTGAAACAAACCACAGCTAATTTTCATAGTGGACTGTACTATACGATAAACATGTCAGTCAATTTGACAACCTTTGTCGGAAACATTATTCAATGAAAATATTGTCCGAACCCTTAGTATTTCTCTTCGACAAATACTTTAACACATTGTGAACCACTTTTCTTTCACGACTATAAAAATATTTTAGCAATTTAATTCATAAAACCAATTGCGCACATTTAAAATAAAGTTTGTTTACACTTTGACAGCAATAGACTGACATGCAAGGTGACATGTCAATGAAGTTTTCAGTTACTGTTGCCATTAAAAGAAATTAGTACCATTAGTTTTCCGCAACATGGCGAGGGTTTCTATGTTCCTGGTCAGGCTATACACAAATTACAGATACGTTACCGTTAGCCCCTCGTACTAAGCTAAAATAATATGCTTGTGTTACGAGTGAACTCACCACAATAGTCGAGCGGCGGTGGGAACCCGCGTTCCCCGTACCATGAGTCGGCCAGTTCGACTCTTTCACCGTTCGGCTATCGTGGCTATGAGACTTTATTGTTTGTCGGGTGTCCAACGCATGTTTTGTCCCACACGATCAACAAAAACACGTAAGCATTCAACAAAATTGTCTACACAAAACAACACATTTTTGTTTCCTTGACAATGTTTTTGCTTTCCATGTCCGGTGGAAAACAAGTACGCAAAACATCCTCGCCGCGGGTCGAGGTCAAGTTACTGTCACATAATTAATCTGTAATTTTGGTTTAATTTTCAAGTTCTGTTGGTTCGTTAAGCCTCACTATCGCTGAAGTTTATATGCAACGTTGTATTCGAACGGTAAGCGAAGGGTTCACTTCGAGGTGTCAATAACATACATGCGAGATATAAGCGTGATAAAGAGAGCACTCGAGCTAACAATAGTGACTGAGTTTCTTGCGCTGATTCTTCTCAGCACTGGCCTATTTATTGTCCCGAAGCAGCGGTAAGGTTTTAATGGCGCATTTTCATTAGTCGATAACTCGTTCGGTATACAGCATGCGGGGACTCCTCGCATGCGAGATAATGACCAATGAAAGTTGCAAGTTGATACGCGTTTGGTACAACGCCTGCGGGGATTCCCCGCATGCATTATACCAACCATGCGCTATTGACCAATGAAATTCATCATTCAGATTTTCTGACGTCCCATGCCTGTTTCTATTTTTTAGTAAACTACGCACGCAGATTGCGGGCACTGTGGCATGCGTTCCAGAAATCTCCCGCACGCCGCATGCGGACCCTATCGATTAGTGAAATTGCGCCATAATACTGGGACGTGTAAAAGTGCTTTTTTGTAAAAATAAATGAGTTCACTCACTCCTTAGGGTGTAACAAATGGTCCGGGTCGTGGTGGGCCGTGTGCGGGTGGGGGTGGGGGTGGTGCGGGTGCGGGCGGTGCAGGTGGTGCGGCGTGAGCGCGGCGTGCAGCAGCAGCGCGCGCGTGGACGGGTTGCGCAGGCGCAGGCGCGCCGCCGCCGCGCCGCCCACGCCCGCCAGCAGCCCGCCCGCGCCCACGCCCGCCCCCGCCAGCAGGCGCGGCCACTCCGCGCGTACTGACCCCGATACCGGGATTTGCACCACCTGCGGCACCCGGACACCTCGTTACGAAGTCGCACAGTCATGTGTAAGATAAGAATTTGAATTGATTACTTCAATTGAATGAGGGTTTTTGAGAATGAAAAATCCGCCAGATGGCAATACGTAGACGCGAGGTGACATGACATTGACAGATATGTCAAAATCCACCAATCACGCAGTCAGACCCCACATCCGCGTCCCGCCATCTAGCGGATCTTCCCGCGAAAACCCTCATTGACTAAAAAAATACTCGACATATTTTATGTATTTGTATTGCTTAATTGATTTTCCTAATAAAATATATTTTTCATTTTTTTAAACTAATGAAAACTGAAAATCACGCTAAAAAGTCCGTGACATCAAGGAGTGCTTAAAAGTGTAGCACTTTGTGACGTCATGCGAAACTTATTTATTTATTAGATACACCAATAAAGTCACATACAGTTAATACTCTACTCCTCTATTATTACAGATAGAGATCGAATGTAGTCATACCTCTGTAGTATGTAAAAGCAGCGAGACGTTTTGGACGCGCGGCGTGAACATGGCGCGACGCGCGCGCAACAACTCCACGTCTTCACGCAGCGCGCCAGCTCCTTCCTGCGCTCGCCGTAACCATGCTGCACCCTCTATAAATACAGTCGTTACGTCAGACAGTCACGTTAATTTACCGATACGATTTGATCAAACATTGGAGCAAACTTTGGCGCGGGACGTACCAGGCGAATCGGTGTCGAGGCCGGTGTAGCAGCGCGGGCGGCAGGCTCGCTCGGGCGCGTACTCCACCGCGCCCACCGCCTGCGTGCCCGCCGTCACCCAGCCCTGCCCTTCGGGCCTGCGAAACGGAACTATGTTACGCTACTCGCTCAGCTTACGTTACTTGAACTGACACCACAAATTATACAACTTGGAACAGTTTTTTTATCATTATTTATTTAGGGGCTTTAATCGGTTAAAAACGATATTGAAACACCGGCAAAGAGGGATATTTTTATTTTTATTTATTTATTAGGTCTACCAACATTGTTACATTACAATATGTACATTTAAAAATTACAATTATGAACAAAGTTACAATGCAACAACAATTATAGGCTGACACAACATGCAATACAGGGTGGAAACGATAAGTGATCTCACTCGATTATTTCTAAACTATACAAGATATCGAAAAACTGGTTACTGATCCTGAAAGTGTTTCACAAGCTCTTTCAAACGGTACCAATAATAGGTTACAGAATAAACTGGAACTATCCTAAAATTCAATGTTTCCAGCTTCCATACTAAATGTATGCCGACAACACATTATTAGAAGTGTAATTTATTTTTTGTTAATTAATAAACTTAAAAAGTCGATTAAATTAACTCGTAACTTGCATCTTATTTAAAATTATTTGTGAAAAACATTAGTTTTAGGCTTTACTTGCTATAAAATTATCAAGAGATGAGTGCCATGACTGTGATAGTACTAAATGTATGGAAGATGGAAACATTGAATTTTATGATAGATCCAGTTTATTCTGTAACTTGATATTAATACCGTTGGATAGAGCTCGTGAAGCACTTTTAGGATCAGTAACCAGTTTAACGATATCGTGTGTAGTTTTTAAAATTATGTAACTTTACCAAATGTATGGAAGCTGGAAACATTGAATTTTCGGATAGTTCCAGTTTAATCTGAAACTTATTATTAGCACCGTTTGAAAGAGCTTGTGAAGCACTTTCAGGATCAGTAACCAGTTTTTCGATATCTTGTATAGTTTAGAAATAATCGGGTGAGATCACTTATCGTTTCCACCCTGTATAGATTCAATGCAGTTTGTTCCGAACCGTTCCATGCACACAAAAAAAAACACTTAATCGTATCAATAATAGTAGAATTTTGATTTAAACATGACTTATCTTATAAGTAGGTACCTACTTACTTACTACAAATGCAAAATAAGTTTCATTTATTAAAAAAAAAAGAAACAAAAAACGGTTAGGATACTCACATAAAAGACACGGCGGGATCGGGCTGCAGCTGCGTGACGTCGACCACGCGCATGTTCATCGCCATCGAACTCTCCAACACCAGCGGCGCCGTGGACCACACGTACTGCAAGAACGGGTCACGTGAGTCTCAATTCGAAGGCGCCGCAGCCGAAGGGCCGAGACGGGGCGGTACTCACGGGCGCGGCGGGCGCGAGGCGCAGCGCGTGCGCGCGCAGGCGGCCCTGGTGCGCGTGCAGCGACACGGGCGCGCGCGACTCGAAGTGCGCCGTGCTCACGTGCACGCTGCCCGTCAGCGCGCCCGCGCGCGCCGGCGCCACCACCGTCAGCCACGCCTGCGCGCGCTCGCCCGGCTTGATGCAGCGCTGCAACAACCGACACCGTCAGACATCGCGCTCGGGGACACCGACGTCACATCAAAATAAAAATTTTCTTTATTTGTTTAGACTAATTAAATTAGTACTTGCAAATCGTCAAATGCTCTTAAGGAGCCTATACATGTCTCATTCTTTTTTTGCCCTACCAGCGCTTCGAGACGAACATTTCTTTGGCAAGTGCTGAGAAGAAGCGCCGCATCAAACTCAGTCACCACTGTCTGCCGGTTTAAAAAAATATAAAAAAGTAGGAAGTTACAATACATTCAGAAGCAAGTTACTTACCACCCGCTCCCGTTGATAGAAGGTGGCCTTTAAGACGCCCATCTAGCACGAGACCGCGTGGCAGTTTTGAATATATTTCTTTAGTGCCGTGCTAATTTCTAGGTTAATTGTTGCGTTTTGATACATATATATTTTATGTCAGGTATATCTTTCCTTGACCAGTCCCCGAAGGCAGCGCCTGTTCACAGACATGACGTGTGAACCAGCCATCGCTTCACTCGACCATATTATAGGGAATGTAACGACCCGCCTCACACGCCACTACCACACATCATCCGAGGGACTCACGCAGGCGGGCAGCGCGAGCTGCGCGGCGGGCAGGCGCAGCGCGTGGGAGCGCAGGCACAGCGTGGCGGGTGCGGGGTTGTGGATGCGCAGCGACACGCGCCGCGTCGACGACACGCTCACCGCGCCCATCCGCAGGTGGCCGTCCGATGAGTTCGGCCACTCCCATTCCTGTCCGCAACGAAAAATAACACTCACTGTTATTTCGTACGCCTAAGGTACAAATTCCATTTATTTACTCCTACAACGGACATCAAGAAGTACATAAGATCAATAAAGTAGCCTGCACTGGGCCGACTGATACCCGTTATGCGTTTCAAACTGGACTAGCTCGACTTCGCAGCCTCCAGAGTGGTACCGACCAGGTGCAGCGCGCCGGCGTGCAGTAACACGGGCAGCGAGAGGCGCGTGAGGTTGGTGCGCAGCGTGAGCGACGCGCGCAGCGACGTGCCCGTCACGGCGCGCAGCCGCACGCGCGCCGCCACCGCCTCCGCGCCCGGCTGCAACACGAGCGGCGTCAGCGCCCCCACCTGCAACGGACGAACGCTGCTCAAAACCAAAATATTGCTAAAACATTCGGAAAATCAGCATCACGTTTGAAAATATAACAGTTGTTTATATCAGGTAAAATGACTCACGTGAAAGTGTTTCTCGATTTCCGGTCCGTAGTCGATGGCACTGATTAACACGGGCACGGGGAACTCGTTGCGCACGCGCACCTCTCGCTCACGTAGCGCTTCATCCCGCGACGCTGTCACAACCCTACCGAGGAGGACCGTTTTAATTTATAAAAATAAATAATTCGGTTTCGATACCATTAGACACCATATTCATGTTCTTCATGCTTCCATATAAAATTACATATCATGAACATATCGTCCATGTACATTTCGCGTGGTCGGACCACCAAATTTGCATACATTTTGAAACTGCCATTGTTTTGCTCAAACAGCCTACAAATACACCATAAGGTGCCTACATTGATTACTCGAGAGTGAATAAACTAAGCAATAAGACAGAATAAGACTTTTCAAAACGTTAGTCATATCTGGCAGTATGCAGTGAGTAGCTCCAATCTACAGTCTACTCACTCGAGCTCGGCGGGCGTGAGGTGCAGTGTGCCGGGCAGCAGGCGCAAACTGTAGGGTAGGCTGGAGGCGCCCAGCCGCACGTAGCCTCCGCACCACGCGCCCTGCTCCGGCGGCGCGGCGCCCGCCCCCGCTCCCCCGCTCGTGTATGACGCCCATAGTCGAGCGACTGTGGAATTCATGCATTTCCCTGAATTATACAACTACAACAGAAAACAACCACAAGTAACACTCAATAGCTTTTAAAAAAAGTTGTATCGTATATTTATGTATTGCAGATGTACTCACAATCTAAAGTAAGTTGCAAAGTCTCCGTCGCCTCCTGATGCGGGTCGAGTTGTGACCTCAGTAAGCTTAAGTATGCGCCCTCTGGTTTCACACCTGCAACAACACCACACTCTTTACTGCTGTAGGATTTTTACTCCCCATTCGTTTACATTTTTTTTATCCACAACGAGGAAGCTCTTTGCCTGTATCTCACCTGATGGTAAGTGATGATCAGGCCGAAGGTGGAAGCGAGCTTCACCCGGAATCCTCAATCACGGAGGAACTGGCTATCTTACCTCTAACTGCCGGAACACAACAATTGCAATGCTGTTAACATTGTACGACAGACTTAGGTAAGATGGTGGTAGCCAGCCAGGCGGACTCATTCGCAATATCGCAATGCTGACCATTAGTAGTGGTCTTCTCGAGTTGCTGGCCGTTGTGGTGCTGCGGCGGCGCGTCGGGCGGCGGCACGAGCGGCACGGGGCGCGGCGCGCAGCGGGCTCCCCACAGTGACGCTTCCACACGTTCCGGCGTGCTGCCACTGTTGCCTGCTAGTATGTCGAACTGCGGGGAAATATTGCTCACGTGACTTTACAATATCAGACAAAAATGCAGCGATAGATAAAATGGACACTGGTTTTCCGTAATTGATTTATAATGGAATGAATAATTAGACAAAAGATGTATTTTGTTATTATATCATTTAATTGAATTTTAAATGATATCAATAAAATACTTGGCGCAAAGACTCATGGTAGGCGGTGTGATACTAAAACAGTGCATATTGTCAAGTTTTCTCTCGCACTCACACTGGTTATGGGTGACGTCACTCAGAGGCAGGCATAGCGTTGTTTATAATACGTAATAATTAACAAAATATTGGCGAGTGTCCATCTGTTTCAAAAATCACTCATGGCCACGCCTGCCACGAGTGTTTGCGTCGAGTACACAACATTGCAACGTATCGTAATGAGGGCTATCGTTTTAGCGCTCAACAGTTAGCGCCACTGTAGAGTAAGGTCCTGTCACTTGCTAGTAGCGAAGACAGTGGCACCAACTGGTGAGCGTTAAAGTGGTAGGAGGACTATCGCATTTGCACTCATCAAGATGGCGCCACTGTAGAGTAAGGTCCTGTCAATCGCCAGGGGTGCCAACTGTTAAGTATAAAAACGATAGCCCTCATTGTAACTAGTTTTAATAGTAGTCGTATAGGTACCGTGTGCGGCGGGTCGCGCGAGCCCGAGGCGCGCAGGCTGAGCACGGCCGGCAGCAGGAAGGTGCCGGCCGGCGCCGCCGCCGCCTCCACCGCCACCACCAGCCCGCCGCCGCCGCCCACGTTGTCGCCCTTTATTCTGCGCACGAAACAATTATGTCACAAAACTAAATAAATATGTGTGGCAGTGTTTCTCGCCATATATTTCAACAGTCATAAAATGATGAAAATTGATAGCAATTATCGTTTACAAAAAAAATATTGTATTCAGACTTTGTGCGATATGTTCCTATAAGAAGGGCATCTCCCACAGTAGCTATAAGCATAGAATAATAAAGTACTACGTACAGATTTATCTTCGTGAAGATATTTGTCGAGCACCGTTTACTTTACATACGTCAATGATCGGTACTGTGCCGATGCGATATGGGTGAGAGCTACAAGAAGCTACTGTGTTGTTTTATGTTATTTTTGCTCACCGCAAGTGAAGAATACGCGCTCGAACGTCACTCATTACTCACGTGATTCCTGTGAATTGAACCCGCCGGAGGTAAGCCGCGCGTGTTTTGTTTTCAATGCCTCCTCGGGGAGATGGACAGGCCTGCTGTAAGCTGCAAGGTATTAGTACCTGATGTACGCGGTGAGCGGGCGCGGCTGCGTTGTGTGCGCGGCGTGCGGGACGGCGGGCGGCGGCAGGCGCAGCTTGAGGCGCACGAGCGCGCGCTCCTGCTGCGGCGGCACGCGCCACGCCTCCCGCGGCGCCGCGCCGCCGCCGCCCGGCAGCCGCAGCCCCACCCACGAGCCCGACGAGTACACCTCGCGCACCTGCCGCAGGAAAAACTCTTCATTCAACACACACGCCCAACTCTCTCGATCGCTCTTTAGGTCACTACAACTCACTTAACATTTGATATAGTCTGGTCTGTGAGCACGTAGAATTTTGTCCAATGACCCCAAGCTACCCTTCGCACGACTGTGCGTTCAGTGCGTGCGAGCGCGACAGCAACATAATTACGCGCGAGCGATAAGGATGGGTAGCTTGGGATCATTGGACAAAATTCAACGTGCTCACAGACCGGGCTTTTGTAGAGAATAAAGATGCGTACTCCCTAATTTACGCAGTATTATTCTCCATCTTATCCCCGGTGAGGGAAAAACTAACCAGACATCAACCGACATTTCACCCTTTAGGCGGGATTTAGAATCACGCTCATCACTCGCTGATCATCGCTGACAGAGCAATATGTATCATCCATAATTAAAAGGAAACATTCCTGAGTGACGCTGATCGCTCGGCGCCGAAGCTTCATATTATGTTTTGGCTGTCAGCGCCGACGGTCAGCGTGCGTCAGCGCGACTCTAAAACCCGCCTGAACTCAATCGCCTAATCATTTAACTTAGCTCCCTAAAATGATATCCAGCATAACCCTGTTATATCCCGTTACGCACCTGCACGGGCTTGTCGGTGGGGTTGTAGAGTGTGAGCACGGGGTCGAGCGTGGCGTTGTGCGGCACGCGCAGCCCCACCAGCGGCCACACGCCCCACGCGCTGGCCACGCCCTCCGCCGACACCTGCGACACACAAACCTCGTATATACTCCAACGATTACGAAACATCAAGTGGCAAAAATCTAAAACGTAACAACACGGTATTGATAGTAGTGCCAGGCCTCCGTCACTCGCCTATGCCGGCCGAGATAATTACCTACAGCGCGCGACAACTTCAAGTTGCAAATCAGTCCGGGCCGCCACGCGCCTGTTTGCACACGCGTATCTATACACGCTCGGTCGATCATAGTCGCAATCAAGGTTTATTGTTCCAACAGCACTGTTATTCTTCTTTAATGAAAAATTGTAATATTTAGGAATAATAATTAACTGTAGTGATTTAAATAATAAAAAAAAACTACACTTTTTAAATAATAAATTATTTTGAAATACTTATGACAAAAAACTATAGCAAAAAAATTATTTTAGCTAATAAAAACATTAACTTTACTTCACCGTGTCTATTTTCCGACACTACACCTTTTAAAACTGTTTGTTTAATTTCGAATTATCGCAACACTGAAGTTTATTAATAGGTACTTTAGAGATGGTACGATTATACAAACTCCACTAGATTAAAGTTTTCTAATCGTAAATACAATAAATGCTTCTTAAAATTAAGTTTTTATTTATTTATTTTACTTTGCTCATACAACCCTGACGCTTGAGCGGTGACGTAGATCAATTCTAAACACAAAAAAAATGCGCTCTTGTGAGCGTAGTAGTAAGGTGCGATTTCGAATGCACCATGTGCGTTGGATATTTTGCATTATTATTATTACCGTTAAAATGTCGGCATCTGATCCTACACAAAGGAGTGCAATTTCTGTTGCTACTATTATGTATTCTGTGGTAGTGCTAGCTGGGACGGTTCAGTGTAGGTCATCAATACATCACGACGGCTTCAGTCCCTCAACTTTAGCTGTCGATGGAGCGTTAGCCGATTAAATGACGTCACAAGTAACTCATATTCTTTTTTTATTGCCTACACTCAAATAGATATAAATGACTACTGTTATGACAAGAACGTGATAACGAGTAATCAGTAAAATTAAATATTCCAATAACAAAATTAATAACGGTGTCGTAAAATGTTTATTATATCTTATGATAGTATTATATCAGGAAACAAAATAATGCTTGTGGTTTTCAAAAACCAATAACTACGTCCATAATACTAAACTTATAGCCGACAAAGAATCAATTCCTCTTCAGGGTTTGGACACAATGCTCCCCTTCGGTTCCTAAACGTTAAACAGCAAGTCGCACAACTTGCTCATTTTTTTACTTTTTATAGTCGTGACTAAGAAAAATTGTGTTATTTGTTAAGTACTATTGCACGATCGCTAACTTGATTTCACAAATACGTGTACCTACATTGCTTCGTATTACGTGTTAAGTTGTTAACTGATCAATGCTAATATGATGTAACAGCACTGACCGGGTACTTGTAGACCCCGAGCGAGGTGTGTATGTAGAGGTGCGCCGCCACGGGCCCCTCGCGCCGGCCCAGGTACACCACGCTGAACGTCGTGTTGCCGTTGGGCGGCAGCGTCTGCGGGCACAAGCGGCCGGTTAGAAGCATCGCATGTCCCCAGTGAACCGGCAAATATACAACATAATATTACGCGAGAAATTATTGGCAATAAATCAATTATGTAAGTAAATGTTTTCTTCAGTCAATGTTGTATAATATAATAAAAAGAATTAATAACTTGACACAGTACAAAAAGTTATATTTCTACAAATATACTGGTCATCACAAAAATCGGCCCACCTACGTTTTACAGGAAAACTCGTTTCTACTGACACAATCATGGTGCCTCAACAATATTGGTGTTATTTGAAATCCCAATAAATATCCTTAAAGAAAAACCCATTTAATTTCTTAATAAACGATTAACATAAACGCGATATACAATAAATGCGACTTAAAAAAAGACTTCACTTTGGGCTCACCTCTGGGATCAATTAGACCAATTTTTATGGTTATAAAACCAAATAATGATCTCACGTGTCCTCTTTAACAGATGGATAGCGATTAATCCCAACTTAACAGTTTTATAGCCATAAAAGTTGGCTCAAGCGTAACTAGGTACCTATTTTTTGAAGAAGTGACTCTGGATTCTTCTACAGACACATTTTTGGGGTAAAAACCTTTCCTTTAATGAAATGAAGTTTAGAACTAGGCTTTTAAATGGTACCAATATTGGTGGGAAGTGGGGATGCATACGTTTGAAAGTGCTTGTCGCGGGAGGGTCGATTTTTGTGATGACCAGTGTATTTAGACGCCGTGTTTCATCAACAAGGGTTTTCTAGATCTCCAGCCTTCCGTGCGCCGCCTGCCGTTGCCCAGCCCGCGCAGAGACGCAGGAAAAGTTCGAGCTTGACGGCAGCGACGCGAACGTCAAAATGCGAGCTTTTCCCGCGCCCCGGCGCAGGCTACTCCACGCGCTGTAGATCCTCTCGATCCTTGGTACTCTTCCGCTTCCAAAATATACAATCTAACCTTAAAATTTTATTCATTCACTATTACATAAGTTTAAATTTCAGTTTTTAATACATAAAATTGATCATTTAGAATATTTTCTCCTGATTTACAGAAAATCAATATTAAAACATATATTGGTGCTTACAATATTAACATAATCATAAAGGTACATTCATAGATAACATAAAATGATGTAATAGTAATAAAGGTCAAGTCAATAGCTGATAATGAGCGTCACATGAGAGGTGTGTCCTGCAACAACACGCAGTTACGACGGTCACTAACAGCTCCGAATACGAAGTGCAAATAAGATAATGAATTAGCGTGTTTCATACGGAATAAACAATAGGTGCCTCAGATATCACTATCGTTAACGACGGCATCATAAACGTTAGTCCAAGGACTATTGGTCTGTCGCTTAAGAAAATACTGTGAAAAGGCAAAAAGATAAAAAGTTAAACAACACAGTGTTGCTAATTGCTGCAACAATTTATATTAATGAGGAAACCAAGCAAGTATCTAAGTGAATAAAAACTCAAGTCAGTCACGCAAGCTCGCACAATCCAAACAAATGGCCGCGTAAAGTGCTTGCTCACAATTCAATAACAATTTCATTTTCTTTAGTCTCCAATGAAACCTTTGAAGCATAATAAGCACACACAAACTGTATTTAACTAAATCTCAAATAACAGAGTGGGTGTCAGTCGTTAACGAGCCAAAATTCCGAGTCTTACGTACTAGCAAACGTGCAACCCGGACACAAACATATAACGACAAATTAATTTCATAGCACATAGCGTGCATTAACTTTAACAGTTGTTATGTGGGGCGAACACTAAAAAGTGTTTTTGACTATGTCAGGCAATTTTAATCTAGTTTTTATGCTATGCTTATAATATTTTTGTTAATCGTTACACCAGTTCTAAAACTTCAATCGTGATATACATAGATAGCCTCTCTCTTGAATCTAAAGGTTAAAAAGTTCTTTACTACATAGTAATGATAATAAAGAATGATAATTATGCTTGCATGTTACTACTTTACATTTGATTGTAAACAAACACTATGCAAAGGTGGTCTGATAATGTAATCGTTTAATTAAAAGTGCGATTATATCGTTACGGCGAGATGTGCGATATTGGTGCTTTATCTCGGAAACCTACATCATTGTGTTATCCAAACAAGCGGCTGCCGCGTAACTAACCGCTTGTGGTGTGAATGTGATATCGCGGCGTTCAAAATATTGCGGTAGTCGATAAAGCACTGCCAGCTCTAATCCATATCTGTGACTGCCAGTGACCAGCGCCTCCCGCGTCACAAACTCACAAGGCCGCCGTGAGCCGTCCCAACGTGACAGATCGGCCGGCGACGACGCGATCACTCACTGCTGTCGTTAGGGTTTTTATCTTCCTTCCGTCCAAAACGAAGTATATTGTAAGCTAATAATGGAACAGATATAAGAGATGTTTACTGTATCTAAAACTAGCAGTATTTTTCTAAATAAACGGATATTCTAATTTGGTCAGTCAAACTTTACTGCTTTATAAATTACATTGAATCAGTAATATTTAACCAGATTTTTAGTTTTTAGTTATATCTTTCACTCAATTCTACTTCAAAACCCTCTTATCCTTATTTTAGCGGTGTCATTAGCTTCAGCTAGGTGTAATGTTACACTTTGGCTTGTTAATTGACAACAAGGCTTGTTAATTGATTCGATTTGTCTAGCGTGTAAGTTTCAAATCAATTAAATACGAGGGCGGCACTGAAAATTTCGGGAATCAAGGAAGTGAAACAACATTACTATTTAAAAATATATTTATTGCTTTTTAAAGTATTCTCCGCGAAATTTGACACATTTTTCCATACACGAAACCAATCATTGAAGCAACCATTGCATTCGGAAGTTTGGGTCTCCAAAATGGCCGTTTTGTAGGCTTCCACAGCTTCTTCAGGTGATGAAAATCTCGGACCACGCAATTTATTCTTTATTTAAGGGAAAGTATAGAAATCATTGGGGCTTAGGTCGAGGCTGTACGGCGGATGGACTAATAATTCTATGTTTTCTTGCTCTAGAGATGAGACGTATTTACTAGAACAGATCCACACACTAGGTATTTTACAGTACTAGGCGGCACCTATTCCAATTTTTTAAATACTTGATCCACCTAGTATTTTATAAATTACACGATTTCCGACCCTACCATCAAAGTAATAGAGGTTATTATTGCGTAATCCGTAGTCGTGTATTACGCGCACCTAGTATTTCTCGCTAAGCTTATGTGCGAACGTAGAGATTCGCTCCGTCTCTGTCTGACCAAACAAATTTGAGCGCGACGAAGCAAACGCACACAAACGTAGTCAAACCATATTCATGTAAATAAGAAAAAATATGTAAATATTTTTATGAAATTGATATCTTTAAAATACGCCAACTTTTAAGTTGACAGTCCAAAGCCTGTTGAAGTATGAAGGGAGGAATTATTATTCAATTTCAAATTGCATTATTCATTGTATCTTTAAAAAAAAAATTTTAAAGTCATATTACGTGGATTAGTCCGCACTAGTCGCGTCAAGTATGCTAAATTACTACGTACTAGGTGGAATAGGTATTTGGATCGAGTATTAATAAATACTCGGAACAGGTGCACCTAGTATCAAATTTACCTAGTATAACCCATCTCTAGTCGATGGTCGCCGTGACGCGCCCGACCGCGGTAACCGCGCGAGGCGGGTCACAACGTCACACACCACCACAAGACCAAACAGGAAGATAGCAAGTCCATACTGCCCACGATCGCAAAGCGATTAACGCGCATATGGATAGACGCAAAAGATTTTACCTACATGTTGGGGAATCTTTACATTGATTTCTTCATTTTTAACTACTTGTTACATCTCTGTATTACAGGACAGCATGTTGTGGCCCCAGACAGAGCCTACTGCACACCTTTTATACTGCTGAACTGGCTGCACAATACATCATAAATATCGACAGCAAAGTGATGTCTCCTCCAACTCTTATCTATGTTTTCAAAGACAATGTTTACAAGCAAAATGTAAATAATTTTATAAAAGAATAATAAATTTGTAGAGGAACCTAGAATTATCTAATCTATTTATTTATATCTATTACAATAACAGTATAAAACATAACATTATTTACACCACATTGTCACCAGAATTCAAACTTCAGATATAATAGTGTGAACCATATACTATTACGCCAATGAAATGTTGTAATGCATGAACATGATGCTAGTGAGGGCGACGTGAAGTAAGTCGGCGGGCAGCGCGTCGCTTACGCACCTTGGACTCGAAGAACGAAGCGTGGAAGTCGGGCGTGGTGCCGGCGACGGAGGCGAGGTGCACGGTGCTGTTGGCGGTGTTGGTGAGCGCGACGGTGAGCGCGTGCGCCGCGCCCAGCGCCGCGCGCCCGAAGCGCAGCGAGGCCGGCTCCAGCCGCAGCGCCTCCGCCGCCGCGCCCGTGCCTAAGCCCTGATCCAAGGATTCCTTGCCCCATTCCTGCAAGTTACAAAACAATGCACTCTCATACCGACACCAACAGAATGAAAAAGACAGTCTTGAGGGGACCAGAGTAAACAATAAATACTGTACACACTTGGAAAACTATAGACTTCCTTTAAATGATCTTGTTAAGTAAGTATACTAAAAGTATATTTTTGTTTGCAATTAGGCTTATAGAAAGTGTTGTTAATTACATTAACACTGAAAGTCAACAAGCCATAGATCCAGACTCAAGTAGTTTTAAAGCAAGTTCCATTAAGACCTAATCGAAAACAACACTTTCAGTTTCATTCTACACAACGAAAATTAAGTTTTGCGAGTGATACACAAACAAACTGTTCTGCCTATTTGTTGCATTTTTAAACAAAAACTGCCAGTAGGTTTCTATCCAAGACAACGAGGCATAAGCATGCCCTGCTTTCTGTCTTTAACACTTTCATGGACAGTGAACTGCTATAGCATTCATTACAATTAAACTACTATTGTGTCTGGGTTACTATCGGGGAAAGTGAAGTCAAAGAAAACATGTTTGGGTATTTTGATGTTCACCTCTGGCAATATATTTGTCTTTAATTTATTGCCTTTAGTTGTTAGATATTTTATGGACAGACAAGTATAAATACTACCTGAAATGATATCCCCTCGATGAAGGAGTCTTGAACTGTCACATCTGCAATAAGTAAAAATAAAATATAACAATATTTTATGAGAAAAAACACAACAATAAGGAAAGCCTAGTGACTAGTAAACAAGGCTACTCAGAAAACTAATCCCAAGATTGAACTGAATAGTGTAAAACGGTAGTTACAAAAATACAAATGATAGATCTTCTACATTTTTTGTCACCTTATCTAATGAATATCCTATATTCATATGCTCAGATAGATGTCAAACAATTTTATATCCAGGAGGGAGGTAGTTTGTTAATAACATTTTTTTTTTAATTGTACTGTAGGTACTTGAATAAACCATTGTAATTTTCTTTTCCATTGGTGATATTACCTACAACAATCAATGATACCTAGGCTTCTTAAAGACCAAAATACTAGTACAAGTGTAAGGTGTAAGCAAAATAAAATCGACAAGAAGTGCGCCGCGGCCCCGATCAAAAATAACATCGGAACGCGACAACTAGCACAAAACTTGCCAAATTATTGCTGCTATTCCAGCGCCTCGGGCTGCAGCCACTTCGGTCCTTAATTCAGGAGACCAGCTCAATCATATAAAAGCAGAGACGAAGCTCTAAATCGATTTTTACCATGGCTCTTTCCCTGGGCTGTCAATTTCGTGTTGAGTGATATATCCAATAAAGTCAAAACTAAAACATAACACCACACTATTTTTCGATACATTTTTATCAGTAGTTTATAATTATGCACTGTTCATTCACATTTCTCAAACACAATTCGACGATTTTATCAAATTGTTCCCACTCACATGCGATCATGCGCTCAAAAAGTCGTAAGAAACATTACAGATAGTGACCGACCGAATATTCGTTTTCGTTTTCGTTTTCGGCCATTTTCGGCCAAAAAATGGACATTCGGCCATATTTTCGTTTTCGGCCAAAAACCAGCCGAAGCTTCGGCCAAACCGAATATCAGAAATAAGTGAATAAGATGGTGACGTTTATCGTTCAGATATCTTCGGAACTAAATCTGGTGCACATATCGATACCTCTGGGCTCAAAGGTCGTAAAGGACAAAATACCGAAAATGAGTTATTTATACAGTTTTACTCAGAATTTAATTCTCTATCGATCTGTATATTTAGTTTGTCGAAATTCCCAAAAAAAGTGCCTTTACGACCCATAATATTTGATAAGCTAAACAAAATTCATCGTGAAAATTGGGATGTAAATACCATTTGATTTTTTAGTACAGTTACCATGGTAGTAAAGAACAAGTAAACACAACTTTTTGGGCGTATAATGTACATGTAGTATATCTGTTGTCCTATACAACCTTACATTTTCATACCCAAGTCTAAATAATTTGTCCTTTACGCCCTTAGATTATCTAAACAAATATTTTAAAAATCTACACAGTGAGGATATTAAAATAACTGTGAAGGTAAATTTTATAGATGTTTCTTACAGTATTTAAGTATTTGCGTTTGGAACAAACTAAAGAACCTAAAAAATCATCAAAAATATGTAATAAAACTATTTTATAGAGTAACATTTATGTGATTTGTACATATAAAATGATGACATCTACCCACATCGGGTAATGTTGCTATTTATTGTTTCTCATATTTGAAGAAACTAGTCAAAAGTCAAAATTTCTTTATTTGTTTAGACTATAAAATAGTTCTTACAAATCGTCATAATTATGCTCTTAAGGAGCCTCTACATGTCTCATAATCTTTTTACCCTACCAGCGCTTCGAGACCAACATTTGGCAAGTGCTGAGAAGAAGCGCCGCAACAAACTCAGTCACCACTGTCTGCCGGTTAATATAAATAAATAGAAAATTAAATAATAGTAGTAGGTACATTCGATTCAGGAGCAGTTCACTGAATTTACCATGCATTCTTGTATGGTGCATCATAAGAATGGGTATACAAGATTGCGTGGTATATTAAACTAGGTAGGTATTTGTCAGGTAAAAGATAATTATTATTAATTATTAAAATATGATTTAAGGAAATAAAAACATGCTATAAAATAATAACGTATTACCTTATTAAGTTAGGATAGTCATCATAAAAATTGAAAAAGCTTAATTTGTTCAGAAAAAAAATATGAGAAATAATATTATGAGAAAAAAAAGTCGCCTTACTGTAGTATCTTAGCTTAGGTGTCATTATTTTGTATGCACAAATCACACAAATGCTACACTTAACAATTATTTTTAGTGATTTCCTAGTCTTTTTGACTAACGCCCTTGGTCAAAACCACTTTTGAGTTTTGACTGTTACAATTATAATAAATTAATATAGTTTCTAAAGTTATTTGGATCAGCTAATAAAGTATAACTAGTAGGAAAAATATTTACACAACATGGGAAAATAAATGTTGAGACTTAATCTACTAAAAAGCGTGAATGCAGTTTTTTTTTTGAAGTTATATTAAAAATAATTGGCTTTTAAAAACGGTATTATGTAGGAGTAAAGTAAATGGATGTACTTTACTGGAATGAAAACCTTCCTACTTGTTATCTTACCTTTTCTACTTTTATACCATGTACAATGACATAATTTTAAGCTATTATGAATTAATAATGTTTAATCTATTTAGAATTTAGAATAATTATAGTTTGGTTTTCGTTTGTCCTTAATAATTCTATTCTATCTGCATTATCATAAGGTCAACTGGTGGACAGACTGCCCTATGGAATTAAGTCCGCTATTTGTAGTTTTTCGAAACAATAATAATGATTAAATAAATAAAAAAAATGGTTTCGGTTTTTCCTATAAAGTAGACATTTATGAAGTTTTATTTAAAAGCGTCATAATATTTATTTCCTAAATTCGTTTTTATATCGGAAATAGTTTCTTCTAGTTCGAAGATATCAAAACTTCTAACGTTAAATAGTTTCATAAATTATGTGCATTAAATTATGAAGATACGGAAAATAATTTTATTTCATTTAAAAGACCATAATTAATTAAAAATATGTGAAGAAATGGTATATTACATATGAAATACCATAAAATATTAAATATTTATGCTAAATCATCAATTTACCCTTTCATAATACCTTACCTGGGTGTCCCGTTACGACCTATGAAAACCTACAAAACTATGTAAATTGTCATTTATTACCTTGTAGTTTTGTGAAATAATAGACTTACGTCCTGAGTAACTTGCCTAGGACGAATATTTGAGGGGCGTAAAGGTATTTTTATTGTAATTTTGAGGGCGTAAAGGAAATTTATCTCAGTAAATACAGCTCTAGTCCAGTTTTTCAATACCTCTTCGGAAAATGCTGTGAATTCTAAGCACTTTCTTCATAAGTCATAATTTAATAGCTCAAAAAACAAAAAAGTTATCGTCGAATAAAAAAATAAAAAAACATTTTTTGCTTCTCCTGAAAAGTCGTACTTCGTCCTTTACGACCTTTGAGCCCAGAGGTATCGATATGGTTCCAATCAGACTTGAACGGACGCGGTATTGTCACACTCTTTTGAAGTTTTGAAGTGAGGTTACGTTGTAAAGGGTGTCAAGTGAGAATTGAATACAAATAAAACCAAAGAGTTTTCATTAAGTTTAATTGTTTCAAAATAGAGTAATGCGGATTTGAAATACGCCATGAGTCACTGGTCGGGGAGCCTACAGAGCGTTCGCAATTGAGCAATAAGTATTTGAAATGTATTGTCGAATGATCGATGAATGTTTGATACCACAACTGCAACTGCATCCCGGTCAACTACTATTTCAGCAAGAAGGTGTCTCACCACACACGGAGAGTACCTCGATGGAGACACTGAGGACTATTATTTTTTTCATATAAATGATCAGCACGTACAGGGACATACCCTAGCCGTCTCAGTCACCAGATCTCACACCATGCGACTTTTTCTTGAGGGGATATCTCAAGTCAAAAGTTTACAGCAAACAATCCTTAAATAATTCAGGTTCTGTAAGAAAATATTCGCCGTGAAATTGCAGGAAAATAATTAGCGCGATTTGCGCTCGCATAGTTGCGAATGTAAGGGTCCGGCTGTGAGAGTGCCTATAGTAAAACGGGCATCATTTAAAAGACATTGCCTATAAAAAAATAAATCCGCATTGTTGAACTCTAGTTTGCATTAGTAATAAATAATAAAAAATCATTAATTTATTTGTATGAATCATTTTTGAAGTTGAAAAATTCCCACTGGACACCCTTTATTTCTTCTTCACTTCCCAATATTTCAATATACACCGGAAATAATTATTCTACTAAGAATTCATAATTCAATTTTTTGTGTTTTAATGCCGGTTTTCTTTAATCAATCCTTATCAAAAACAACTGTCAAACTTCATTACGTTTTTGGTCAAAACATTAACGGTTTTCAAAGTTTTTACATATTTAATTTCAGATTGAAATTTGAGAGTTGAAGGTCATTTTCGTTTTCGTTTTCGTTTTCGGCTGAAAATAAGACTGTAGCCGAAGCTTCGTTTTCGTTTCCGTTTTCGGCTAAAAATCCATATTCGGTCGGACACTAATTACAGACTAAAAAATATTTTCTCTTTTGACGTTTGGTTCGGATATTGATTTGGATATTTCGGATACAATAGTGGTGCTAAAACACTTTCAAATGTAACGGATATTTTTGGTATTAAAAATAAAATATAACCAAACAAAGCAGAAACCAGTTAACAGAAATTAAGTGTAAAAGCACAGAATAATAACAAGTACTGTAAAAGGGCCTTTTTTACTATTGTTCATTTCGTTGGAAGTGTAAAAAAAGCACTATTCTTTTGTTCTTTATAGACACAGCACAGCACATGCACAGCACTATTTTCTAAACGACAACTTGATGTTTTACGAAGTCTCTTCTAATGGTCAAGTAAAATAAATTCGATTGCATCACACTTATCATTATATCTTTTAAAATAATCATTTTATTGCTTTTTCGATAGATTTACAAAGTAAACATTTTTTTATTTCACGTGTTGTTGTTGTAGAAATTATTTGTGAAATTTTATTTGTGTCATTTTGTACTTAAAATGATTAACGATATTCGTAAACTCATCTAAACAAAAACTGCGATGCGAATTATTTTGGTCATATTTTTTTAAACATAATCGGAAATAAATCAGATAAATTGTAATTAAAGTGGCAATTAGCAATCTATATTCGAGATACCTTTTATCAGCGTTAACATGGAGGAAAATGGTATGTTTTGCAACACAACTGTTCTCTACAATCTAATCCAACAGATTTTTCTTTGTATTTTTATGAATTTATCGATAACGATTTTTGTAGTGGTTTTATTTACCTACAATTAAAATCAACAGTAACTATGTGAATAAGTAATCGTATGCACAGTTGCATACAAATTGATAAGAGTATTCTATTTGTATCTAGCTAATCAACCTGAAAACGCGGATCCTGATGGAGGAGGAGATCATGAGCTCGACATCGACAGCGACAGCGACGAGAACAGCATGATGGGCCACGACATACTCATTGCAGAGGGACCGGAATTACTTGAAGCAGCGAGAGAGTCCAGCGACTCCGATGACAATGAGGAAGAGCAAACATTTGATATATCGCTGGCAGCTTCACATTCTGTAAGTATATTTTAGGTAACTCTTATTGTGATAAGCTGTATAAAACAATTAATATACTTTTGTGTCAAATATTTATGCATTTTTATCTAGTTGATGGGCTCATAATATAATAAAATAAACAAATAACAATAAGTTCTTAAAACTCTTACGCCTAATATAAATGTGTTTACTAACTCTTATAAAAGAGGACTAATTTTACAATCACATGAACCAAAAATAATAATAAATTACTCAAAGTCTAAATGTAAGTAGGCAGGTACTTTATACAGTAAGTGATCTATTTTGTCAGCACAGAATTGCCTCCGCCATTTAGAGAGCACTTACTCTACATTTTAAAATGAGATGCATTAACATTAACCACAGTACTTTTTGTTGAACTGTAATTGTGTAATGTACCTATGTAGTAGACACTAATTGAATGATCAAACGAACTTACCAAGTGAAGTTCGATCTAAATTATCCTGTTTTCGCCGAAGAGATTTATTTTACCATGTAGTACCCCTGTACGACAACCCAATCTGCACACAATATTCAGCGTAGTAGTATTAAAAAACAAAAGAGCGGGCAACCCCACCCCTACCACGCTGTGGGCTCGGTGTCCGAGCGGTCTCATTATATTTAGAGAGGAGATGACATTGACGTTTACCTCCAGGGAAGAAGATATAGAAATCTTCGGGTTGGGAGGGACCTTAAATCTCTTCGGCGAAAACAGGATAATTTAGATCGAACTTCACTTGGTAAGTTCGTTTGATCATTCAATTAAAATGGCTACTGGGTAACATCTCGCATTACCTCGGAGCAAAAGAATGGCTACTGGGTAACATCTCGCATTACCTCGGAGCAAAAAAATGGCTACTGGTTAACATCGCGCGTTAACTTGGAGCTAAAAATGGGTCAAAGTTACGCGTCGTGTCACAACGCTTATAATAAAAATGTACGAGCACTTGCACAAAATAGTTGTTACAACCAACCTTTTGTTGGGTCTAATTCTCGTCACTACACTGCACAACTTAAAATAATTACGTTTTTTGTCGGTAAAAACGTCCTGGTGACGTCACTTAAGCATTTTTCTTATACTGCGTGCGGTCGTTGCGCGTGCGCACAAAGGAATGAGACCGCTCGGACACCGAGCCCACAGCGTGGTAGGGGTGGGGTTGCCCGCTCTTTTGTTTTTTAATACTACTACGCTGAATATTGTGTGCGGATTGGGTTGTCGTACAGGGGTACTACATGGTAAAATAAATCTCGGAGGCGAAAGCAGGATAATGCTTGCTTTCTGGGGGATCTGGGTTGGTATGAGTAGGCTGTAGGAAGATAAATAACAAATAGACAATTTGACACCATTTCCCAATAATTCGAAATCGCAACTTTCCTAAAAAGTCACTTCATTCTGGTCTTAAAAACTTAATTAAAATTACCTGTAAATTACGATTTTTGGTCGCATTGTAATTGAAAAAAGTAGTTTAATTGAGTTGACAAAATAGTGACGTCGCTTGCTTGTAGTGACATACAAAATCTATGGGAGAGTTTTGTTTTGACAGTTTTAAAAAGTACGTCAATTGATTGGTGGTGTCAACATGTCTATTGTGCAAAATGGCCCAATGAAGATTCTAAGTGTGACGATTGCCCTTCAAAACTAAGAGTCCGTAATGAATGTTTACGCCGGCAGTACATGGGCCCGGGGCTGGTGGCGGTGAGCGGGCGGCGCGTGCTGGAGCCGGGCTGGACGGGCCGCGTGCCGGCGGCGGCGCACCACGGCGCCGTGTTCCCGGGCGAGACCGTGCCCATGCTGCTGCCCAACCCCGCCGACTCCGCCGCGCTGCAGGCCATCCAGAAGGAGCGCCTCTTCGGCCTGCTGTGCCCCGAGTATGTACCTGCCGCCCAGTCTAGTGCTAGTGTTGTATTTGTCACGAAAGTCATGTAGTAGTTAAAACTTACAGGATGGAAACGATAAGTGATCGAGCACTCAATTATTTCTGAATTATACAAGATATTAAAAAATCTAATTACTGATCCTGAAAGTGCTTCACGAGCTCTTTCAAACGGTACCAAAATAATAGGTTACAAAATAAACAGCATCTGTCTGAAAAACCATGTTTCAAGCTTAAAAAAAATCTATTCACCTAATCTAGTATTGTTAATGTCAGCTCTGTGTACTTGGCCAGACTGAATACGCGGGCGCGAGCGAAGCATGACGCGATGTACTAAAGATACGACTGTCCATATTAGCACTCGCAGTCTAGCCTAGCACTGTGAGAAATAAAATAAAATGTTTATAAGTATTACCTAGTTTAGGGACTGCTAGTAAGTCTAAAGTGATCCAATTGATTAATTACACCAGTGATTTTTTTTTTTAGTATTTGTTGTGGGTACTTTATTTCCGAAAGGCATTTCGGAAATAAAGTTTTGTTTATTTACATATTTATTTAACTGGGTACGATTATCGTGTGCAGCGAGACAGGCACGGTGGTGAGCGGTTACGGCGTGCTGTGCGAGGTGTTCGAGTGCGGCGCGCGCGAGGCGCGGCAGCCGCTGACGCTGAAGGCGCGCGCGCACCACCGCTTCCGCCTCGTGCACGCGCCCGCGCACGCCGCGCCCGTGCACGTCTACTCGCGGTCGGTAGCCTTCCTTCTACTTTCTCAACTTCTTTTTTTTTAAGATTATTAGTAATGATTAGTATTTTTTTTACTTCCGTTAACACCTCGTACTAAGCTAAATATGCTTGTGTCACGACTCACGAGTGAGCTCACCACAATAGTCGAGCGACGGTGGGGACCGAACCCGTGTTCCCCGGATCACAAGTCTCCAGTGGCATAATTCACGTATTTTGACAGTCAAGATCTCGCTGACATTCAGAAGTCGTCCCATTGAACAGTTCCAAATCCGTATTCACAAAGGTCATTTTCGATAGAACGATTACTCGATCGACTTGTTGTCATTGAAGTTTTGTTACGTGAATAAGGCTACAGTTCGACCCCTTCACCGTTCGGCTATCTTTCTCTCTTACTCTGTAACTTTATTAAGGTTGAACGAGATATGATATTCGTTTGCTATGTGTTTACAGAATGCGGTTTGTGGAGGTGCGCGTTCTACCAGAGGTGGAGTTGGGCGAGCCGCTGCGCGCCGCTCGCCTCGCCTCGCTCGACCCGCACCGCCGCCCGCGAGAGCCGTACGTATAGTATCATCGTGATGCAGGATCTACACGACGCTAAAGTCATTACCATAAAGATTTAGAGAGATGCCAGCTAATACGCTGAGTTCGAAACTCAGTGTCGAATTAGAAATTGACACACACAAAGTAATCAAAATATGTGCTCATTATTCCATTGCGGTATCAGTACTCGACGTTCGAATACTACGCAAACAATGTAGACTGTTCACATTATGACGTCGCTGCTGTCACGAGCAATGTGTTCTGATTTTGGGCATATTGCTGCGACACCGGCCCGCCCCCTTGTCACATCTCCCTTTAGTTTCTGTGATCTGTGGTCATTACCGTCATGATAGTAAAAGTAATGTATGTCAGGCAGCTGGACCGGCGGCTGCGGTGCATGGACGCGGCCGTGACGCCGTGGCCGCTGTTCGTGTACGACATGTTCGACTACACGCGCGTGCGCCGCGACATCGCCAGCTACTTCGCCACGCTCAACCTGGGTCAGTCGACTAATGTACAATTACTAAGATTAATTTGTTTATTTATTTAACGTCGTTGATGTGTGAAAACTTCGTAAGTCGAATTTTTACCAACAACACTTTTTAATGTAGGGTAAGAAAACCTCTCAAGTTCTCAACGCACAATGAGGGTTTTCGCGAATTTAAAATCCGCCAGATGGCAATACGTAGACGCGAGGTCCAAATGCTGCATGATTGGTTATTTTTGACATGACATTGACAGATATGTCAAAATCCACCAATCACGCAGCAGTCAGACCCCACATCCACGTCCCGCCATCTAGCGGATCTTTCATTCGCGAAAACCCTCATTGGAGCTCACCTATATTCGAATGGGATGATTGTAGTGCCATCTACCGCGTTCAATGAAAACCTCGTAAAATATTCAGAAGATCATTATGTTTACCCAAAAGACCATTATGTTTACCCAAAATTGTGCAAATAAATATTGAATTTGAATTAGAAGACGGTTTTTTGTCTCTCCTGAAAAGTTTTGTTTTCGGTACTCCCGAGGTTTTCACCCGTCAACGACGTTATGTGCCTGTGAATCTTATTGTGTATATTTATACGCTCCTATATGCGTAGACAAGCTGCCCGAGGACCCGGTGTCGCTGTCGTTCTGGGTGGCGTCGAACCTGGCGCTGTCGGCGCGCGACCGCCTGGCGCTGTTCGCGGTGGACAACGCGCTGCTGCGCCTGCACATGGAGCTGCGCCTCATCGCCCGGGTGCGTGCCCGCTCGTGACGTATGCGCGCACCGGTGGTAGCCCACTGGTTATATTAGGCTAAAGCCTGGTCCGTGAGCACGTAGAATCCCGTCCAATGACCCCAAGCTACCCATCCCTATCGCTCGCGCGTAATTATGTTGCTGTCGCGACTGTGCGACGAGCGCCCGCAGTGAGTGTGCGAGCGCAACAGCAACATAATGAGGGCTATCGTTTTTTTACTTAACAGTTGGCACCCCTGGCGATTGACAGAAACTTACTCTACAGTGGCGCCATCTTGATGAGTGCAATTGCGATAGTCCTCCTACCACTTTAGCGCTCACCAGTTAGCGCCACTGTCTTCGCTACTAGCAAGTGACAGGACCTTACTCTACAGTGGCGCTAACTGGTGAGCGCTAAAACGATAGCCCTCATTACGAGCGAGCGATAGGGATGGATAGCTTGGGGTCATTGGACGGGATTCTACGTGCTCACGGACCAGACTTTAGATGACAAAATTTCAATTATTTGTCCGTCAGACAGATAATTAGAAAATATTAGACTCATATTTTTTATTTTCTTTCATAATTAAATAATAACAGTGCTACATCGAGTTGAAATGGCGCGATACGTCACGCTTGAGTAGAATCTTTACTCAAAAGTGACGTCACACGACGTTTCAACTCAATATAATACTGTAATTATTCGATTATGGAAAAAAATAAAAAATATGAGTCTAATATTTTCTAATTATCTGTCTCACGAACTAAATAGATTTTCGATTTCATTACCCAGTCATCATCCCTTTTCCACGTACATATTTTGAAACAGTCAAAATGTCGTTCACGTTTAGAAATCGTCCTATTAAAAAACAGTCCTAGATCCGTATTCACGTGTCATTTCGATACAACGATTACTCGATAGGATCGCGACTCAAAGATAAGTCATTTGACGTTTAATCACTGTCATCCGATTGAACCAAACTTCAAAATAGGATAGGTGAATACCGCGGAGGCAACGATTAAATACGCATAAAAACGAAGTCGAAACAAAATTGGGCGATTAACACGTGAATACGAAAAGTGACGTGAATCAAATCGATAGAAAATCGTTGAAGTTTTGTTATGTGAATAGGCCAGTGACCACGTTGGATGTATAAATGTTACAGTCAAAACTCATAATCAGTCAAAACCACTTTTGACTGCAAAAATCAGTCAAAACCACTTTTGATTGCAAAAATCAGTCAAAAGTGGTTTTGTCTGATGTCCTTGGTCTGGACTGATTTTTCCAGTCAAGTGGTTTTGACCAAGCGCGTTAGTCAATATCACTTATATAAGTCGTTTAGTCTGGTTTGTAATTCATTCAAGACCACTTTTGATTGATTTTTGCAGTCAAGTGGTTTTGGCCGATAATGAGTTTTGACCGTAACATAAACACTTGCAGAAGAGCGTGCTATGCTGCTCGGCGTGCATGACGGAGATCGCGCGGCGCGAGCACATCTTCCCGATGTCGTCGGAGGGCGTGCACTCCAACTACACTAACCTGGGCGGCTACATGCACGACATCGTGACCGTGTCGGCGGCCAGCGTGGCGCTGGACGGCGCGCCCTCGGCCGAGTACTCCTGGTTCCCCGGCTACACCTGGACCATCGCGCTCTGCGCCACTTGCACGCACCACGTGGGCTGGAGGTGCGTACCGATACTCTTGTGCTTCATTATCGCTTTTAGTAATGAATACGTCGTCAAGATAGCACAAGACAGTAATTTCCATAGCAAATCAACTTATCATTTAACATTTTTATTTATTTTAGATAGCGATTGGACCAAAAGAACTCCGAACTATGACAAATTGTCTCATTGATACTCCTTACAAATTGCTATGGTTCAATAAATTTCATGACCCGGAATAAACTATTATTTGGTGGTAGGTTTCGTTCAAATCAACAACAAACTTAATTCAGGAAATATTTCATAAACTTTAAACATGATGCGTTTATGAAATAAAAATTATGTGCCCGCAAGTCGGTGATCGTTGAGTTGTTGTTAGTGCGCCTACTAAACTGGATGTTGCCTTGTCAGGTTCGACGCGATGAAGGCGCGGCTGCGGCCGACGCAGTTCTTCGCGCTGTGCCGCAACAGCGTGCAGCCGCGCGCCGGCGACGAGCGCGACGCCGCGCTGTGACCGCCCGGCCCGCCCACACTGCCCGACCACGAGCCCCGAGCGGCGCGCTGAACGCCCGCGGGAATGGACCGCGGTGAGAAGCTTACTCTTAGGCCCGGTTTCCACCACGGCGGAGTGAAGCGGCGAAGTGTTTTGAACGCAGAGATATAGAGAGATGCCAAATAATGCGCTGAGTTCGAAACTCACGCCCGTATTCACAAACGTAACTATGAGGTCTCACAGTGCGCGTGGACGCACAGAGTGACACACGAACCAACACAGAGCTCTATTCAACGCTGTGCGTTCGATTTGCTGCTTTACTTGAGCAAGCATCGTTTGTGAATACGGGCGTAAGTGTCGCATTTGAAATTCATATACACAAAGTAATCAAAATATGCGCTCATTATCCACTGCGGTATCGGTACACGTTTGAATAATCTTTAGTACTACGCAAGCAATGTAAACTGTTTACATTATGACGTCGCTGCTGTCATCATTGCTATCACGAGCAATGTGTTCTGTTTTTGGGCATATTGCTGCGACACCGACCCCGCCCCCTTGTCGCATCTCCCTTTAGTTTCTGTGATCTGTGGTTTTGAATAACCAATCAGATTTCCTGTATTAAAGCAGTTTCCTCCCTCGAATCTAAAAGCTGTCATCAAATTGTTTCAGAACCCAGACCCAGTTCACGTCGTCGGCGCGCAAATTAACAGAAACGATGAAGGATGAAGTCGAGTGTTTAGAGTCTAAGAATGAAAGATAAGACTGTGTACCCCTGATGTGAGTTTTAACCTCAGATCATAGAAAGAGAATAGATATGAAGTCGCGCGTAACTACAACGAGAACCAGTGTCCCCACATTTCCCCCACCACAGCTCCCACACACACATTCAACTGTGTAAAAACAAAGCGACTGAGAGTCTACGACAACATGTGCAACCGGCTTAAAAGTGCTGTGATTGGCCAGAAGGCATGCCTTATGGCCAATCAATGGCCGCGTGACGTGACGCACACTAAGAAAATGCTAGTGAGAGAACAAAGATAAAATGGAGTCGACAAGATATCGATACTTTAAATCGCTAGGGGCAAGGCTCGAAACTGATTTCACAAAATGCTTATGTATGAAAACCTTTTTATTATTATACGTTATTATTAACTACTATCACTAACTATTTACTTTTTAATTATGGCGATCTGCGTACCGCATATGTTTATCAAAAATAATGTTCAACTAGCTCTTATAGTAATTACATAGTTTACAGTTACTAATTACTTCTACTGTTATTATTTTTTTTGTATAATCTTATAATCTAGAGTAACACATATTTTTTTTATTTAAAATTACAAAATAGAAAATTATAATTTACTTCTATTTATCGATAATAGGAAACCGCATTAGAACACGAGCACGGCACTATGTTACGACCGGCACATGCGGCCGTACTGTGTATTTTCACACGACAGTGGATATCGGAAGAAATTAAATACATTGCGCAGTAGTTGAGCATGACATAAAGTGGTTACTAACTAAATCGTCAATGTACAAGTGTGTTAGAATTTTTATCACCACTGATTTCGATATCGCAGTAACTGTTACGGCACTGAATTCGTTCGTAAAAATGTTTAGTTTTTTTTATTTATAAGCAAAATACCAATGGATTTGCAATACTTACATGTAGGAAATGACTCCATTGTTCCTGTAGTTCTTTATTTCACTTGTTTTATTGCACGTAACGACATTATTATCCAAAATATCGGAGAACATTTCCTTAGTACGACTGAATCGCGACTAACCTAGCTACGCGGCCGATGTTATATGCCGAGGGCATATCGCGGAGACACGCACCACGCCCCCGTTTCACATCTATTCCCTTCTATGATCTGAGGTTTTAGCGTACCTCGACACTTGCATGCGGGTTATTTGCTGTTTAGAATACTACGACAACCTCATGGGAGCACTTGAAATTGTTGATCTAGGTGCCTTTAATTTACCCATGAATATATTTATGTCATATTATTTGTACTTCTTATCCATTTAATTACTTCACATTGGATTTTTAAAAAGCAATTAGTTATTTCAAAACATTAAGAATTCAACATTTCATTGATATAATGTGTTTAGGTTGTCTTAGAAAAGAATAGAAATATTTAAAACTAGCTGACCCGGCGAACTTCGTACCGCCTTAGCGTAGAGATTTTCTTAATATTTTTTTCCGTAAGAACCATCCTTGGACTTCCACAAACATTTAAAAAAAAGAATTATCGAAATCGGTTCAGCCGTTCACACGTGATGCCGTGACAACGCGAAACGGGTTTCATTTTTATATACAGTGTGTCCGGGCTTGTAGTGATCAAACTTTAAAGGCGTAATCTATGGACAATTTTATCGATGAAAATACTTCAAATTTGGGGCCTGACCCATTTCTCGAAAAATTACATTGATTTAAGTTTTTAATTTTTAGTTTACACCTCTTCTTTAAAAAACAAGTTAAAGCGTGGGTAGCTTAACATTAATAGGCAAATATTTTATATCATGCGATAGCTAATAAAATTATCTATTAGTAGAAGAAGAAAGCAGACACAAGTTTCATACATTTTATGGGAGTAAGATTGGATTTAATTAGAAAAATACATTACTTTTTTAACTTCTTTTTCAGTTATTTTCCAACACAAGAAAAACCAGGTCGTTAAGGTATGTTTTATTTGCATTGTATTTTTAGTATTTGAGCTATTCTACAAAACGAATGTAAATTTATTAGTCCACGTCTATTAGTTTCGACGTAATTGTTGAACAAAGATACCCCTTCCCAGCGGTTTCCATAGTAATCGGAATAGGTCGTGTGATTCTTTCAGGCAGTGCATTTTCGCATGTCGCGTGCGCTATGGAAACCGCTGGGAAGGGGAATCTTTGTTCAACAATTACGTCGAAACTAATAGACGTAGACTAATAAATTTACATTCGTTTTGTAGAATAGCTCAAATACTAATAATACAATGCAAATAAAACATACCTTAACGACATGGTTTTTCTTGTGTTGGAAAATAAATGAAAAAGAAGTGAAAAAAGTAATGTATTTTTCTAATTAAATCCATTCTTACTCCCATAAAATGTATGAAACTTGTGTCTGTTTTCTTCTTCTACTAATAGATAATTTTATTGGCTGTCGCATGATAAAAAATATTTGCCTATTAATGTTAAGCTACCCACGCTTTCACTTGTTTTTTAAAGAAGAGGTGTTAACTAAAAATTATAAACTTAAATCGATGTAATTTTTCGAGAAATGGGTCAGGCCCCAAATTTGAAGTATTTTCATCGATAAAATTGTCCATAGATTACGTCTTTAAAGTTTGATCACTACAAGCCCGGACACACTGTATATAGATATATTAGAGATAATAGATATATTTTTACAATACGTATGCCATTTCGAGTCTTAACAAGTACCTATTTGTGTAATATTTATTACTGTTGTATATTCATTTTCATAGATGATTCTTAGGGTATTATTAAATACTTTTATGGAGGATATTATTCAATAGCACTCCTTAACTTTGTGTAGGGTATTCATAAATAAAAATATCCTTTTTATGAACTAGTTAATGTTTTATGTTATTTACATTTGCGCAAATTAATATTGCAGAATAATTTTATAAAGTTGTTTTTTGTTTCTAAAGATCAGGAGCGAACATCACAGAACTCTATCTAATGTAAATGACGTGTAAATAAGCATTTTCTTATAAAATTAAGGCAATAAAATATATAATTGTTACGTATTGTATTTAATTTTACTCTTATCATGCGTTTCTGCGCGACTAACACCAAAAACAAAATGAAAGTTATAATCTATTTAGTATATTCTTTATAATTTATTTATATATTATAAAAATCTTAAATACACAATATACAGGTAATGCCTTAAATAAGTTAACTATCACAGCGCGCTCCGCAGGGCTACCTGCTTCGCAGCAGCAGGATGGGGAAGTTCTCCGTCACCAGGTAGTCGTCCTCGAAGATCACCGCTATGTTCAGCTCGAACTCTGGAAACGTATTGAAATCATTTCTTCAAATAAGGTACCTTATGAAGTGTATTGATTTTTTTTTTTATGGGACAGAGAAGCAACGGCAAACGCAAAACGCACAGATCATTTGATGGTAAATGATTACCGCCGTCCATAGACTCCCGCAGGCCTGGAGGCGTTACAGGTGCATTGCCAGCTTTTAGGATATAAGTACGCTCTCTTCTTGAAAGACAGTAGGTCGGTATCGATTCAGAAATACCGCAACGACAGTTCATTCCAGTTTGGTTGTGCGGGGTAGGAAGTTTCCAGAGAAACGTACAGTTGTGGACTGCCAACCACCTTTAAGGGGATAGAGTGTACAAATAGTGCGCGTACCGATCTTGAAGTTGTGTGTGGTGGTGGTGGGGCAGGTGAAGAGGCGCGGCAGCACCATGTAGAGTGGAATGTCCCGCGCGCGCTTCACGTCGCCCGCGCCCACCTGGATGTTCTGGATCTCCGTCGCTGCGGGCAAGCGGGATCAAATTCAAAGAAAGAAAGAAAGAAAATATTTAATTTGGCCCAACATATTAAATTATTACAGTATACAGCTTACAATACTTGCACATTTGTGGACCAAAATGGCATCCGCTCAGCATTGTGTCCTGCTCTGAGGTAGACCCCAGAACAGGACGCTGTTATTCTGCGGAGGCCACTTTTTAAAAGAGCGTCACATTGGACGCCATAAACGTTGGCATTTTTATTTTAAAATTATATAAACTTATACAAAACTTCAACGATTACATAAATTTTTAGGTGTGTGTGCTAGGTGTGTGTGTTAGGTGTATGTGGCTTGTGTGTGTGTCAACAGAAAGTGCTAGATGTGTCAAAAAGTTATGTTTGTGTAATAAAGGGAAGGCACCCTTCATTTTCGCCCTACTACTGGGTCGAGGCGTCCTAGCAGCCGTGACGTCACAGGTTCTAGTACAGACAGGAAGGTAACGATTCCCAAACTTAGTCTACTGCCCACTTTGAGAATAAATTATTTTTTAGCGCCCCCCATTTTTGTAGTCAAGAGTCGAGCTCAGTCGGTGTCTAATGCCCGTTTTCACCATCAGTCCCTAATTTTTAAGTGACCCCTATGAAAACAAAATTTCTGTTACGTGTTACCATAAGGGTCACTTAAAAATTAGGGATTGATGGTGAAAACGGGCATAAGAGTCCTAGTAGATGACGCCTCCCAAGCCTCTACATAACGTCCCGATTTTTTTTCTGGGTCTCTTACCGCCCCCCTTTAAGCCTGCAGCGCCCACGAGGGGGCGTTATCGCCCACTTTGGGAAAGACTGGGATAGTAGGTAAAGTAGTTAGTTCGACCGGATTGTACACTTGGGCCAGCAATGCCAGCATTAAGAAGTAGCAGTAGTGGGTGGTAAAGCATGTAATGCTCACCGTCGCGGGAGTATCCCTCGGCGCAGCCGCAGGTCTCCACGCGCACCAGCTGCAGCTCCACCGACTTGATGGCCGCCTCGCACTCGTCCACGCGGATCTGCGACACCACACAATACAACATTACAACATTTAACCGCCTCTGTGGTCTAGTGGTAAGACCACTTCAGACGCAGAAGTCCCGGGTTCGATTCCCAGTGGGGGCAGATTTTTCTGTTCGGTTTGGTTGGTGGTAGGGCTTGTTCTGAGTCCGCTTGGCTAGCTACCACCATCTTACCTAAGTCTGTCGCCATAACAACAATGTTAACAGCATTGTTGTGTTCCGGCAGTTGGTAAGATAGCCAGTTCATCCGTGGTTGACGATTCCGGGTGAAGCTCGCTTCCACCTTCGGTCTGATCGTCACTTACTGTCAGGTGAGATACAGGCCAAGCGCTTCCTCGTTGTGGATAAAAAAAAATTACAGTTACGAAAACATTAATCCAAAAACGACAGGTTCATTCAAGTTGAGCGTGACAAGAGCTAGGCAGTCCAACCGAAGGATTTGTTTCGGCCACAGAAAGTGCTGTCTGTAAAGGCACAAGTATTTCTGAAAATACCAATCCCACTCCCGCTTATTCTAAGGGGTCGTCTACCTTGCCGGTGAGCGGCTTGTCGAGCGCGCAGACGGTGGAGTCGATCTCGGCGTAGATTTGGAACTGCGGCAGCGCCACGCGCGCGCTCCCCGCCCCCGCCGCCCCCGCCGCGCGGACCGTGGCCGGCGTGATCTCGCACCGCACCGGCTTCTGCGGCGCCGCCTCTTGCTGGGCACATGCGAAAGAAGATTACGGATTGAATTGGTCGCTGATCAGAGTTCGCACTGACGAAAAATATGCGACCACATTGCACTTTGAAGTATGTGAAGGCATATTGACATAAAATCAAAATTAAAAATATTTATTCAGTTTAGACCACAAGTGGCACTTATGAACGTCAAATATAGCAAACAATAAAAAGAAAAGGTAGCCCTTATGGGGCACTTGCATGTCTCCTTATCTTTTGGGCCCTACCAGCGCTTCGAGACAAACATAAATGGCAAGTGCTGAGAAGAAACGCCGGAACAAACTCAATCACCACAATACTATTCATACATAACAATGATTGACTAGATGTGAAACAACTTTCTTACCGGTCTATACTGCACAAAGAACTGACAGCTGGCAACCAAGGGTTTGTTCAGGAAAGACCGCTTCATGCTGCATTTCAGTGTGTACATGATGTTCACAAACACACCGTGGTACGTCTCCAGTAGCCCAGGGTAGCCAGGGGATACGGCCTGGATAAAATGTATATGGTGTTAAATATAATACCAAACCATTATAATTAATTATGGACATAGATTTCCCTGGTAAATTCATTAAAAAAAAAGATGTTAAAATGAATAATGTTTAAAAAAATTACCTGTCTAGCTCTTAGTGGCATTTCAAATGGGATTTCTGTAACTCCAACAGGAATCTTGCCCGGTGGTGCAAGCTCTATGCTAGTGTTGATGAGGTTGATTGGCTGAAACCAAATAAAAATAAATGTTAGTAGTGGAATTCACATGTAGCAAGAATTTAAATAGAAGGCAGTTTTCAGTGAGTGCTCTGTTACTTTGTTATAGCACTGGGCAGTGATTATTATGATTTTGAGTCACTTTTCACAGTCAATAGTTAATAGTATCAGGCATTACTTTGTGGAAATCCATAATTAGATCCACGCACCAACTGTGTTATAGTGCGTGCGGGGTGTGTGTGATTTGGTACTTGTGCCAGCGTCACTAAGAGGAAATTTCAAGCTAGTAATTTTATCTTTTTGATACAGTGAATAGTGATGATGGTACCTTAATGCTGTTGGAGAAGGCCTCGAAGATGCCGACGCTCTTGGTGCTGAGCTGCAGGCCGACGGAGCCCTCCGCCAGCAGCGCCAGCCCCTCGTGCCGCACGTCGCCGCTGCTGTCCACCACCACCACGCCCGCAATGCTCTCCTGCAGCCACAAACATTCATTCAACTTTGTTACCTTATGGTATAGTTCCCGGTGTTTAAGAACCCTGAATTTTTAAAGTATTATTGTGAAAGCATATACGCAAATTATGGCGTTGGTTTCAACCTCCCACCTCAAAAAGGTAAAGCTAAAATTAATTAATGAAACTTGATTGTGTTAGTATTTCTAAGACCAATCTATTTCACATATAAAAAAAGTACTTACGCCTTCATAGTACACTTTACTGGCTCTTTTTAAATTAATCGTAAGATTTGTAGACATTATTATTTATTTATTATAGAACTAAAACGAGAAACAACAGCCCAGTCTCAAACCAAAACAAATCAATCAGCTGTGAGAGAGGGAGGAGGAGGTGTGTGTGAGTGAGAGAGAAGAAGCTTAGATTGACGTTTAAAGTAGTGATGGGCCAACTCGGGAAAAACAAAACTCGATTTAACCCGAGTTAAAATCTACGTAACTCGGGTTGAACTCGAGTTACGTAACTCGAGTTAACAGGATGGACAAGTGAGTTTTTTACTTATTTTTACCAGTTTATTCGCTCAGATTCGCATTAATATTTAAAAAAATATCATTTATAATGTATTGGGAGAATCATACTAAGTAAAGTAATAAAGAAAATTATTGTTTGAAATATAATATAATTTATTCATGGATTTTTGGCTTGAATTTTAATTTTAAAAAATATTTATATTTATTATCACTTGGCATTTTTCAAAAACAGAACATAAAACACGAAAATCTACAACAATAACCGGCAGTTTAAAGTTAACTTCAAATGAACATAGTCTCATTACTCAAATGATCGTTAATCTTCGGTCCATGTCGGTTCCATTCGGTTTACGATACGAACTCGAGTCAGAGAGAATTTAACTCGAGTGGGTTCGAGTTACGCCCAACTCGAGTTAACTCGAGTTACTTACTCGAGTTGACCATCACTAGTTTAAAGTTTTTTTTATTCCAAGATATTGTGTAGATTCAGCTTTTTTCAAAATGTTTTAGACGACTGCATTGTATAGGTCGCGCAGCAAAAGTCGAGACGAACTTATTATAAAAATAATAAATATAAAACACAATACATACACCATAAATTCTATGTGAGATGTGAGCAACGCAAGTGGGACAGAAAGCACGACGCCTTGTCAGTCAGAATGAGCCAGAGCATAAACAGTTTATTTGTATTGTTCGCCTAAACTCTTGCTGCGTCGTGTCGTGACCTAGTTTATCTTCTATGTTTATTTATAATATAAATTTACATTCATATACAGGTGTATATCATATTTTATCTTGGCGTACAACTATTGAAAGGAAATTTAAAAAACCAAACTGTCATTTTCATTTTGTCAAACTGTGACTTGCGTCATTTTTCAAATTCAGTTGAAAAAGACGTTTGTTGGTGGTGGTCGCTGTTTTTGTCTTGAAAAAAATTACGATACATTTATTTATTTGTTACGTTTCAAAATATTTTATCGTGCGATAATAATTAATGTAGTGTTAATTATTTTATCTAGTGCAAGTGGTGTCGTAGTTTTGTGTGTGCGCTCTTGTGGAAGATTGATAAGAACAGGTGATGCCGTCGAATACACCCCGAATGGATCGATATCGGTGACTTTGAGTTTGGAGTGTTTTTACGCTGAATGCGAGAGGAGACGAAGATGGAGAAGTCTGCCCGGCCTCGGACGGCCCTCAACGAATGCGTGAAGGTGGTGGTGCGATGCCGGCCACTTTCAGAAAAGGAGAAAAATGAGGGTTACGAGGAGGTATGATCGCCATCGCATTATTGTTTGTGTCGGGTGTTAGGGCTGCGCAGACTTGGTGCGTAGAGTCCCATCCGTTGTTTAATGAAAAATTTATCTGGAAATGTTGTCAATCAAGTGTTTTAGGAATTGGTGTACCCGATAAAAACAAAATTTTATGAAAATAATAAGCAGCGACAAAAGTCATTAGATCATGGTTAATTTCAATTGTTGATATGACTTTCACGTCGAAAGCATTTTCTGCAGTGATTTGTAAATCAAATTTAGCCAGGGCATGGGCCTGCTGATTCACGCGCGTGGGTCTCGAATCTCAATCCTGAACGCCTAAGCTAATGCGTGAATTCGCGATACAATTTCGCATTGCTCAATAGATCCATTTAAATTATGGGTGTCTAAGAATGTCAAACACCTTCATTACTTATTGTTCAGTAGTGTTTATGCTAATAACTCATTTTAATCAGCTACTGAGTGATAGTTTGCCTAAAAGTATCCACCTACCCTCCTCAAAAAAATTGATTTAATTATTATTATTTTTTATTTAGTATGTGAATCTGCTACAGTACTACTGCTGAAAGATACCAAATAAATCCAACATGTGTATGTAAAGAGGCTGTTGTAAATAGTTTGCATATGATTGACACAGTGAGTGCGTGTGAGCACATCCCAGGTCATGATGTAATGTTTTGACAATGAAATTTTGACACCACATGGGGCCTCAGTTCTTACTAGAGTATGCTGTAGTTTCAGTGTTACTAACAGCAAGATAAATAATTTTTAGGTATGTAATATTGTAGATAAATGGATATAGAAAGTATTATTTACTGTCTCAAAATAGGTTAACACTTTATTTATTTATTTCCAAATTACAATAGGTATTCTTAATTCAGTAATTTTTTAATACCTAAATTGCAATATTGGAATCCTTCATATAATAGTAAAATAAATTATTTTAGCTATCAAACTTTGGCCCAGTGAAGTTTTGGATAAATGCATTGAAATATGCTTGTTATTTTTATAATAATTAGCTCTATTTAGCTTTAAGCTAAATGCATTTATCGATAAATGAATTTCTAATAGTTCACCAGTTCTAGACTAGACAGTCATTATTTGATGCATCATCACTATTGTTAATTTAAAAACAAAACAGAACTACTCAATAGGCATGTTTGAAAATATGAGTAGGCATGATGATAAATCAAAATTATGTATAAATCATGCCTTGTATAAAAATCAAGTTACCATAACATAATACATTATGTTATGGTAACTTGATTTTTATTAACCATTAAAATGTAAGTACTGCATGTGACTTTGTTGGTATACCTAATAAATAAATATGTAATAATATTGGTGCACCACACACACAAGGCAGATTTTGGTATACCTAATCAGTTTTTGAACTTCACTCAAACAACTTCTCTTTATTACTTAAATTGTGTACAAACAGGATAAAAATAAAAACTTAATAAATAGAAGGAAATGAATAGAAATCTATTAGGTAATAATCGTGTATCAAAAATAATAAAGTTTTGCGTCGGATTTGGCGTTGGATACGTTGCGAACTTTTTTGCCCAATGTCCAAGAAAGTACGTGGATATGCTACTTATCTACTTGGCATCGTCCGCTTTGTCTGAGATCAACACCCCCAACCAACTAGGTAAGGCCATCAATCAATTTGCAGGAGATCAAAGCCAATCCAAAAACGAAGTAGGTATACCATACTTCAGGAGACTTGTAACAGAAAAAGACCAGAGAGATCCACCAAGTTGTATTTAAAAAAAAAAACTAAAAGTTGAAAGAGTAGGTATCTTTTTGTAATCTCTAGACATAGAAACTATTACAAATAAGGCCATCATCGCACACATTTGCGATGATTAACCACGCGTTGGTCGCCAACATTTGGTCAGCGTAGTTCACATTCTCGAAATAAATCAGCGTACGCGCACCGCGACCTAGCAGCTGACGGTAATCGCCATTCGCGGCTGATCCATATTAGGCTTATGTAGATCTTCAGTGGACACGTGACGGCCTTCGCTGGCCACGGCACAAGATTAATCGTACTAATGCATCATTTTATCCTCGAGTAACTTAACATCTGGCGTGCGTAAAATACCTACCTATGAAACCTAAGTCTGCAGATATCGCGAAACTTGTACTGTATAAGTAGGTACTACTTTACAAATGGATTAGATCAGTCATGTTTTTGTCAGTGTTTGTCGTGTTTCCATTGAAAGCTAGCATATTCTATTTAAGTTTTTGTGCCGGTGAAACTTAACCGGTTAGCGGTTTCAGCAACGCTTTGTAATAAAACGCCGAAATCAGTTGTATTTCCGAAGATTTTCCATGAAAAACTCGACCTTGGAACTGCTTATTGCCACTTGAAAGATAACTTACGCAACTACAATTAATAGTTATTCAGCCATTTTATCAAGTTGCTTGTTAATTTAAAAGCCTTAATTTTATACTTTAGTAGAAAATTGTAGTTTACTGGTGTAAACAGGTACAAAATTAAAATTTATCTCAGCCGCGTAGCCGTTTAAAAAAACTTTTCCTACATACGCACGCATGACTCCCTCAAAATGCTAAACAGGAGTAAATGGCACAGAAACGTGTAATGTTGAGATAAGTATATCCAGTTAGAGTATAGGGGTGTGTACATACAACCAAAGTTACGGCGTTAAGTGCCGATAACATTGCTAGTTGCGCCGGCGCACGCCAGTCGGTGTTTTGTAGAGTGGAGGCGATGACGATATGGCACAACCACTCTACAATCCTCAGCGCCCTCATGCCCTCAATACGAACTCGCGCCAGCGCATCTGCGGCCCGGGGCTCCTCCGTGCTGCGTGCGAGACGCAGCTCTACCGAAACGATAAAACATCCAAACGATTTGTTTGAGTTAAACTGTGCAATTTGCATAATATTATCAATCTGGGGCACGCTGTGCTACACGGTTGTACACAACGAATTAAACATTTATTCAGAATTCAGCCGATAACGACGTATTGGAGAGAGATGAAAGCTAAGATTAATTTGTAGGGACTCTATGCACCGAATTTATTGCAAGGAGCAAAGTATCGACAAATATTTCAAAATACTAGTAGGTATGTTAGTTAAAAATAGGTTTTCGAAATGGAAAGCTCACAAGAGTTACGATCGTTAGACAAGTCATTAGCAATTAACAAGATATAAACACCACAGGCTACCTAAGTAGCGACGAGATCGAGCGATGTGTTTACAAAAGTGATATATTATGTCACGGTTGATTAAATTTGATTCACGACACGCTGGCGTCGTCGGAATGAAACGACTCGTTTGGTTTTGAGGTAATGCTTTCTAGATCAGCTATTTGATTTGATTGTATTCTTTAGGTGTCAAAGAAGCGGCGGCCGGAACAGAAATGGTACGAGCGGCTGTCGACAAAAACGACAGTGGACAATAAAAAGTTTGACGCCCCCTTGCAGGTCTGAGTCTGAATCTTGCCTCTAACAAACGGGCAGATTGGATAAACGGTGCACTAACCCGGTGTGGCCACTAGCTGCCATGGGGCGCCAGGTCTCTCATCATGAATCATTCATTACTCGTATTTAGGCACATTTAGTATAGATTATTCATATTGGTGGTGGAAACTGGGATCTAAATTACTTTAGTGCGGAATATTAATCAGTTAAAACCGTAATTTTGATAACCAGGCATTCTGAAACTGAAATATCACAGAACTAGGGGTCGCAAACCGGGATACCGAATTTCGAAAATACCGGAATACCGGGCCAAATTTAGGTCTAATTAATACCGGTATTCATTTCACAAAAACCGGGATATTCGGTATTTTCGGTTTTAGTAAAATAAATAAAAAACAAATACAAATAGAAAAATTAACGCGCCATTTAATTCAAAATACGCGCGCGCGAGTTAATTAAAGTATTTGAACTATTTAACCCAAGTTATTTTAATAAAGGATTATGATTATGCCAAATCCATTCCAGTCCAGAAGCTTGAAGACATCTTCCAGGGCGGCGGTAAACAGTTTTGGAGATATGACGTCTCCCTGTCTTACCTCTCGCTGCAGCTGGATAGGTTTCGAGTCCCTATCCTGGAGGCGGACCCTCATTGTGGCGTTTTTGTATAAACTTTTCAACACTTCGATATATCGATAGTCAATTTGGCACCTTTGGAGAGATTGTAGCACTGCCCAGGTCTCGACCGAATCGAAGGCTTTCTCATAATCCACAAACGCCAGGCAAAGTGGTTGATTATACTCCTCGGTCTTCTGTATAATCTGCCTTAGCGTATGTATGTGGTCTATGGTACTAAAGCCTTTTCGGAAACCGGCTTGTTCGGGAGGCTGGAAGTCGTCGAGCCTGCGAGCGAGACGATTCGTAATGACTCTTGAAAACAGCTTGTAGACATAGCTCAGAAGTGAGATGGGCCTATAATTCTTCAACAAGGTTTTGTCGCCTTTTTTGAAGAAGAGTATCACCACACTTCTGTGCCATGTCTTAGGCGTTTTTCCTTCGAGGATGACGGAATTGAACAGCTTCTTAAGAGCCCTTAGTACCGGCGTTCCGCCTGCCTTCAAAAGTTCAGCCGTAATTCCATCATCACCCGGTGCCTTGTTGTTCTTCAGCTGTTTGAGAGCCATTCTAATCTCGTACAGACTGACGTCCGGGATATCTTCGGTATAGTGTCGGGTCAATCTAGCTCTTGGGTCTTCGGCTAGATTTGTGACAGGTGTACGTACACTCGTGTATAATTGTCCGTAGAACTTCTCGACCTCTTCCAATATCTCCGGCCCCGACGAAATGGCTCTGCCATCCTCTGTCTTCAGCTTGGTCAGTTGACTTTGGCCAACAGACAGATCTCTTGCGAACACTTTAGAGCCCTTGTTTCGCTCAATCGCCTCTTTAATACGGTCTGTATTAAATTGGCGTAGGTCGCGAGTCAAAGACTTGGAGATCTGTCTGTTAAGACGCCGATACTGAGCAGCATCTTCAGAGGACTGCAGAACCAAGTTCCGTCTCTCTTCCATGAGTTGATTGGTGAGGTCAGAGATCTTTTTGGTTCCTTTTGAACTACGGGTTTTAAAGAACTTAGACCCAGTCGTTTGGGCAATTTCCACGAACCTGTCATTGTATTCGTCCACATTTCCGCAGTCTCCTAGGCATTCAAAGCGATTTTGCAATTCGAGCTGAAAGCTTTCGGGGTTTTTGACTTGGATAGGATAGGCGCTGGGCGGAGCGTAGACTTCATCAGTCGACATCTTTTGAGCTTGGGTCTCTGATATTCAATGTGCCTCACCATTCGGTGATCGCTTCCTGTTTTGACCGAGTTGATCACAGAGACATCGTTGAATTAGTAAATTATTGCAAAGAACTGATACTGAACATATCAAACAACAAACCTTGTGTCAATTAGTATTTTGTTTTAATTAGAGCTGATTTTTCAATCGTTGGATAACTCTTAACTGAAGAATAATTTTGGCATATTGATAGTTTCAGTATGGGAAATATGTCAAAATGACAAATTTATTCATCAGTTAAAAGTTATTTGATAATTGAAAAATCAGCCATTAGAAGATAAATTAATTTAGGTTAGGTACCTACTTACTATTCCTCCGCAAAATAACTTTATTATACAAAATTTGCTAACTTTAGCTTAATCCCGGAAATATCGAAAATACCGGATTACCGGTATTGGTTTAGAGCCAATACCGAAAATACCGGTTTTGCTGAAATGATTCGGTATTGCGACCCCTACACAGAACAGTAACGTCTTTGTAGTAGATTCATATCTTCATGCCTATAATTAAACCATCTTTACGCACGTTCAGGAAAATCGTACTGCTCCGACCCTGTTCGTGATCACCCACATGATCCACATCATTTAACACGCGCAGGAAGTCATTGTCACTAATGTAATTTTAATTAATAAATGGAGAGCGCTTATATTAATATGATAGAATTAATTCACCCGGTGAGCTTAGATTACCAGGGCTCGTGTTGTGAATGTGTCACATCACACGAGAGTCTTTTCGGAATAAGGACAAGCGTCAGCGAGCGAATGAGAAAAGGCAATAGAACAGCTAAAAAAAACACAAGTTGCCCATAAAAACATTTTGCACAATGTCAATCATTAACCATTAGCATAAACGTATTGGGGTTTCGGTCACATTTCCTCATTGGGATGACGTCCGGGCTGCCCATTTACGAAGAGCTATGGCATTATCGAAAGAACAGACCAAAAGTGTATGATTAACTGCACTTGGATGTTTATTTTTAAAACCTCTCACTTATTATGCCTCGCTAATCTCAAACACGTGCGCTTCGAACAGCTGTTCGATTATAATACTTTTTGTTGTAATAATATGAGGGTTACTTTTAGAATAAATTCATCAGGTATCAATATCGAGCTTATAAAGCTCTGTTCAAAAAAACAATCTTACATTTGAGCAATTTAACAACCAAAATATATTAATTTCATTAGTATTTTTATCTCGTGTAAGTAGATGTTTTTAATAAATAAACTAATTGGTAGTTTTACTTTATACGTGAGATTGTATCATTTTCTGTATCAGCGCTCGGAGACCTTTTACAAAAGTCGGGTATAGGTATTTGAGCGATTTTCCGCAGAGTATGTCACCTACGCACGCGGCGCTTACTGAGTCCCGATGATCTATGGGTGGATGTGCTGGTGTAACTCTTGCGACTGTGCAGGTGGTGAAGGTGTGGCCGGAGCGCGGCGCCGTGCAGGTGTACAACCCCAAGGGGCAGGACAAGCTGTTCACGTACGACGCCGCCTACGACTGCGCCGCCGACACGCAGACCATATACGATGAGATGGTGAGTCTCACCCCGCTGCCACTGCCGGTGATGCCATCTGCTCGCCCGCTCCTTATTTGGAACTAAGGATCATAATATAATTTTTAGCTGCATGCCTAAAATAATATTCTTTGATACCAGACTTCCTTTGTTCTGATTATTGCTAATTAATTTTGTTTTAACTTAAAATATGAAGTTGTTGCACCATATTTTTGGCTTTCCTGAAATATTTGGTAGGTATGTGTTTAATTTAACTCTGTTAGTATTTTGTATTGTTTCATAGATATTATCTGCATTTCCTGCCAAGATAGACTCTACCTGTATAAAATTACCTGAAAGAAACTCCAAGAAAAAATAACAAAAGCCATGGTAGCGTTAATAACATTGTAGTAGGATTAAGACTTGTGTTTCGCTTTGTAATTCCTCTATCTATAGAACTAATCTCTTGAATTTATTGAATCCAAAATAGGCATTTGTATTGACCCAGAAAGCAATGTAGTGAATTGTAAGTGCAAGTTGATAAACCAGTCGCGTAGAATGAAGCCGAGCGCAGCGGCGCGGTGTGCATTTCAGGCGTCGCTACAATAATTATTTTGAAGAGAAAACCGCGTTTCCGCGCATTCCGCCCGCTGCGCGTACGCTCGCTGCGCTATTGCCAAAAATATGACAACACGCGTCACGTATGCTATCACTGACAATCTGACGCTTAAAAATAAATAAAATTATGATCTTTCCGGCATTACAAGTTGTTTTAGTGTAGGCAATCATTAAATCAATCCATGTAATGTAGGACGATCATGGTCTCATCATTTTGACGCCTATATTAAATTTGACGCCCATTTTTGTTCTTAATATCACAAAAGGGTCGCTCGTGACAAATACATTTCCTAAAAAATAAGTAAAACGAGTAGCCGTTCTGAGGGAATATCCTCCCAAAAATACAAACCTGGAAACAATACTTTACAAGTTTACATGACGCAAAACATCTTCCTGACCAAATGAAAATCATTAAATCTCACTGTGCTTCCAAATGATTTTCCAGATTACTGTCGTTTCCGGGAACGGTTTCAACAGTTTCGTACAAAGTAGGTATTCGTAATTTAGTACAGTCCAAAACAAATTTTTATAATTTTTTTTTTCATTTTCAGATTGTCAGTCATTTTAAAATTGTCGTAGATAGTGTACAAGTATTAGTAGTAAATCTTGAATAATTATAAACTGACTCTACCTAGCTTACGGTATTGCTTTTACAGAAAGACAACGATTTTCATATTGATTTCAATTGCTGTGATTTGGTGCTGTTTGGTTTGATGCTGGCCACCTAAACCAGCGTCACCGCAGCCTAGGCGCGGGCGCGTTATTTGCGCGTGCTGCGCACGCGCTAGTCACTTGTAAATGAGCTGTTTCGCTTTCTATTGTATAATTCATTTATTTATAAACATTATCATTGTGAAATTCAGCGGCCATACGATAAAGCGACATTTTTTCACAAAGGATTTTCTTGATAAATAACTCTATGAATACAAACTTTACGCTGGTTATGCCATTTTTAAAATGCACTAGGTATAGGTACATTTTTCAAAATGCGGAAACGATTGTTTAAAATATGGTCATTCGTAATTTATTGCATTTCAGGCAAAGTCTGAAATAAATTGAACCAAAATGCTAATCATGTTGAGCAATAGCATATAAATCCTAAGAATATAAATAAACACATATCTAATTAATAATTTAATTTATGTACAGGATAATACTAGTGTATTACCTAAATATATTTAGGTAGATTGAAGTAATTTCCAAGTTAGTAATCGCAAGTGCTCTACCTCCATTTGCCAACCACCTTTTCTATTAGATAACAAGCACTTGACACAGAAACAGCTGTGTTCTGCAGCTAAAGGACGATTATGCTGGTTTCTGCATTGTTGTAAAACAAAGGGGATCATATTTAATTGCAACGTGCGCTTGTCATGAACCTGTTCTCATCTCGTCTTATTACGCACTGGTCGCCATGTTTACAAGGCTGAGGAATATTGCCACTTACTTACTAATACTGATGATGTTTTGACCATTTTATTTGTATTTGTCTTAAATTAGGTTGATTTCAGCTGAAAAGCCTGTAAAAACCAATCTTCATAGAAATTTCATAGGTAATTTAGAAAATAATTACTATATTGCGATTAGTCTATTCTTAAGAACTCTATTCATTTTAAGTACCTCAGCTTAGTTACCTCAGAGTCAGATTGTCATGTGCATAACGCCATTTTTTGCTAAAAAACTCGAGATAATATGGCGTATACGCTCCATACCACATGGCATTACATAATTACACGGTATTGTTGTAAAACAAAAGCGCATCCCACAAGTAGGTACTTACTCGTTGACCGTAAAACCTGTCCCATCACCGGCATGAGTCAGCCGCGGACTCAATACTGTACCTTGACGCAGCCCAAGGTCCTGCGATTCCGACAAAAACCAGCGGTGGGCGGCCGCCGCAGCCTCGCTCGTGACATTAGTCTAATGTTGGTGCTTTCAGAAGTACTCATCTTCAACATAATTGGTGTACAGAATTTATCATCCTTTTCTGTGATGGCACAGCAATGAAATTTAAAATAAATAATATGTCTCAGTCGTCCCTTTTACTTAATTTTCTTAGTCAACAAAATAATGTCGTAAAACAATATCTATTGTCTGCTAAAAATCGGACAGTAAAGGTAGATTGGGCGATGGTAGGATTGCATGGACAATCTAGAATATCAAGATCAGAGATTATATTTTTTTTGTTTTTTTTTTTTTTTTGTTTNTTTTTATCCACAACGAGGATATTATTTTATTTTTATTTATTTTATTATTATATTATTTTTGTCACAAAGATAAAATAAGCTAGTCTACGGTAGAGTACTATTTTTTGTACCACTACATGTTTGTACTTTCTGGAAGTAGTAAATGATTACACTAGGCACCCGGAACAGATACTGCACACTGCATAAACAAACATGTCTTCTCGTGTGCCTCTATAAATATTTTTAATGGCACAGAACCATTGGTAAAATATTTGCACGTTGATGTAAATACTCGCGAATGCAACAGATGTTCGCAACAAAAGCAACTGCCTGTGCTATATTACTGCCTTTTGTTCATCGGCATAATTCTTTATAGGTGTGCAGCTTTTCTTAACGAGCGCACGTAGTCAAGGCTCCCGTGTGTTACGTCATTTACGTATTATGGCATCTACCGTTTTCAGCTTTTACTCTTATGTTAATTTTGTTTTGATTTTGAGTGACTCGATGTTCCGCAACGCTCTGAACAATGATCTCATCCGAAGCTTTTAGTTGTGCGGTTTTTTCTAGCTTTATTTCTGGTCTTGAAGCGAAGCTGAAAATAGTAGAGTCGTTTGTTTGTATTGAAATATTTGAATGTTCTTCACGACTGAAATTATTGAGCATGAAAGTAATTTATATTGTTTCACGCATCATTTTAATAATTCTTCCTTAGTTGTAAATGTATCAATATTCATTGTTTACAAGTTATTACGTACTTACTTATTCTTACAATCATTAATATTCTCCTTGTAATCTAAATATTCGATTAGATTACGAGCAATCGCAACGCAGAACGCAACACAAGTCTTAACAACCGATGATTAAATACAGTTTCAGGAATCGATAACGTCAATAAACTAGAAAGTTTGGCTGTGGATGAAACGTTATCGGAATAATCATTGTGATATAATGCGCAAAAATAGTATCGTAAAGATAAAACATCCTTTACTTAATATTTATGACCTTTATTATCTCCGATTACATTATTTACGCATAGTTAATAGTCTAAATAAATTCGTGAAACTTTAGATTGATTTCGATATTCTTCGCTCTCCCATTTTTATACAGTGTGAGTCACGTTAAAGTGTACATATGAAAATATGTGAAACTAGACCTATTTTTATCGACAAAAAAGAGGTCAAAAAATTTTTGAGATTTTTTTATAGAATTTTTTTCTTCCAATTACTTCTCGTAAAGAAAACGTAATAACTTTTAAACTAAGAGGTATATCCTGATAAAATAAAAACAGTAATAATGCTAAATAACAGGCGATACTAAAAAAATTCATAAAATACCCAGAATGTGCCAACAAATAATAAAAAATGATACTTTTTGAAAAAAATCTGCTTAAAAATTCGTATTTTTTTGGTTATTTCATAAATTTCTCAAAAATATGCCCCTATAATAGGTGGTTTTTATTACTTTGTTTATTCTCTATCGTATTATCTTTGTAAAACCAAAAATCGCGTGTCTCTATCCCTATCACAACATTTGCTATGATCGTTTGAACTAAGCCTCTCCGGGCGCGCCATTCAACGCTTCGTTAACAACGAAACTCAAAATGGCTCTAGATTTGTAATTTTGATAAAGACAAGTTAAATTTCAAATAAAAACCAAAGATTTCGAAGTAAAATAAGCATTTTAGTTAAAATTAAAATTGTCTCTACCTGTAGCGGAGAATAATGTTGTGGCAGGCCTTTGTTCAAACGATCATAGCAAATGTTGTGATAGGGATAGAGACATGCGATTTTTGGTTTTACGAAGGTAATACGATAGAAAACAATACAAAGTAATAAAAACCACAGGTTATAGGGGCATTTTTTGGAGAAATTTATCAAATAACCAAAAAAACACGAATTTAAAAGCAGATTTTTTTCAAAGAGTATCATTTTTTATTATTTGTTGGCCTTTTTTGTGTATTTTATGTATTTTTTTAGTATCGCCTGTTATTAAGCATTATTACTGTTTTTATTTTATCAGGATATACCGCTTGGTTTAAAAGTTATTACGTTTTCTTTACAATAAGTAATTGGAAGAAAAAAAATTCTATAAAAAATTAAAAAAAAATCTTAAAAAATTTTTGACCTCTTTTTTGTCGATAAAAATAGATCTAGTTTCATCTATTTTCATATGTACACTTTAACGTGACTCACACTGTATTTAGGTAAGACATACAGTTTCAAAATTTTAACTGTCTTATCAAGAGGTGATTTCGGCCTTCGACAGGCAGTACTTATTTCAAATACAAATTTCAAAATATCTTCATTTTAAACCTCAGATACGAGGACATAGGTTGTCAAATTATAAGATCGGAGAAACGCAAGCGGCGTTAGAATTTATTTACTTAATTAGGTATTGTATGGCCTAAATTCGTCTATGATTGTCTCTATAAATTCTGACTTACGTTCTGTTACAGTCATATAGAAAAAAATCAACTCGGACACTTTATGCGCAATCTATAGTAATTTTGAAATGCCCCAGGTCCGTCCCTTGGTGGCGTCCGTGCTGGACGGGTTCAACGGCTGCGTGTTCGCGTACGGGCAGACGGGCACCGGCAAGACGCACACCATGGAGGGCACGGCCGAGCACGAGGGCGTCATCCCGCGCACCTTCCGCCACATCTGGGCGCACATCGAGAACACCGCCTCGCCCGACGTCACGCACCTCGTGTCCTGCTCCTACGTCGAGCTCTACCTCGAGGACGTGCGGGATCTGCTCTCCAAGGACTGCAAGAAGCTCACCATCCGGGGACAGGTGAGCAACATTTGCAACTAACTCCTATGTTCTTTTGATTCATTTCGTTCTGGCACCAATGACAGTACAACTCTCCCCCGGGACAAACATGGCCTTCACTGGTTGAGTTTTTAGTAGCGGGCAAGTGTAGATACACCCAGGAATTGCAGAGGTAGGAACGAGAGGCAGGAATAGCTGACACTAATTACTTGTAAACTTTCGCGTCGCATGATTATTATATGTAAAAAGTTACTTTACTTCGCGGTTGACTAGGCACCAGAGTAAGTACGAGCGCGTCGCGTCAACGAGTGTGCAGATTAGGGACATACTATTTCTGCTCTAAAATGCTGGAATATTATGACAGAAATATCGAAGAAGACTGCTTCAGACAATAGCGTGTAATTGTAAGGCGGGCGATAGCCTATCAGCAGGGCTCGCCGCACACACCACTTAAGGCAGTCGACTTTTCAAATGTGGGCGGCTGCTCAGGGCGTCAGGAATGAGAACATTCACACTTGCGTAAAGGGCACCTTGGTTTGACCTTTTTAACTCCCTCTTTATACCTATAAATATATTCAATTTCATACAATTCCCACAGTAAAGAACGACCACGTTTAGATATCCAATATCTCTTTTACATAAGCCAGTATGTCACACACGGGTGTAGAATCTCGTATCCTATTCTTACATCAAACTGTATCGTATGACATAAATTTTCATTATGGTCTTTATGAGAGCTTAGATAAGCAATTCCTAGCTAGTTATTTCGTTTAAATAAGGTACTTGATACAAATAAGGCCTACGTTCTAATAAGGCCTATACATCAGAAAACACAGATAAACAAATCCAACCGGGGTAATACTTCAAGGACACGTACTCATATGCCCTACAACCCGGTAGAGTGCAAGAGCGTCCCGATCCACGATCCCAGCACCAATTGGCACGCGTTCTTCTAAGGTGGTGGGTGATTTCGTGCTCTCTTATAAAAATCTGGCGATTTCATCTTAAATTTTCGGTAAAATAACGCTGTTTTAGATTAAGCTTTTCTTAGTAATCGTTTCTAAATATTTCTTACTACCTAATAATTACCTTAATTTGTACTACTGGCTATAGATGCATTATTTGTACATTTTTAAAGACAACAAGAGCGAGATATCTACTAAGGCCCAGGCCTTATTTCAGCATGGTAGGCCATATTGGATACTTATGTCAACACCTGATTACGGACAAATTCATTAAACTAAATGAGTCAAAGAGTAACTAAATATTTATTTAATAAGAATGTTACTAACAGCACAGAAAATAAAAAGAAAACAGAGTAAAAAAAATTACTAAACCTGTAAAAAAAAGAAACAAAATACAAAACCAATAAAAAATAAGAAAAAAAAGCCGTATGTATAATTCTAAAGGATTAAAGCTGATATTATCATGCCTGTCTCGAAGACAATGTAGCAGATATGCTACCATAAAGGACTGCTTTTGGTGGTATCATAAAGATTGTGTAGGAGTTCGTAAAGATGATTCAGAAGCCTTTTTATGCCCTGGTTCTAACAAAAATTGAGATCTCATTTTGTTTACAAAAAATCAAGACTAAATGATGTTCCTAAACTGATTTATTTAAAAGGTTTTATGTGTAGGCCTTATTCGAACACGGTGTTTTAATAAGCCCTATACAAAAAAATAATATTGTTTGTTTTTGATATTTTTTTTGATAATTTAAGTAAGGAATCATTACTTTGTTACTATGAATATTTAATTTTATCTATAATTTATGTATTATTCTTAATAAGTGGAATTTAAGTTTATCTAGAGATATACAGTATATTTCTGTTTACTTGGTATGTAAAATTTTGATAACGCAAACAAATCGACGTGTTTAATGTTATAAGACCGCATTTTGTTTAATACAACCTCAATTTTAAGGTCTACAGGCATTTGAATCATATAGGCCTTATTCCGTGTAGGTGATTTAATAAAGCCAAAATCAGTGGTTTCGTAATTTGCTTATTTTGAATAGATTTAGTTAAAAATTGTGTTATTTTTTGTAATATTGCTAAAATTAAAGGATGGAAGAAGTTAATTAACCTTGTTTTTGTTGACTGGCGTTAATATTTATTGAAATATAAGCATTTAAAGTTAGGTAGGCCTTATTTGTATCAAGTACCTTAATGTTAATTTGGCAAATATCCATGAGCAAGATGCTCTAACCGTTTCTAACATCTGTAAGCTATGGTCATGGGGCCTCTAATTCTGATTAAAATCACTGTATGCAACGATACATATTGTATCTTTTTATCTCTTACGAACATGTTGAGGACTAAAGTACCCATAGCGCCAGTTAAGAAACGCAGGTGCATGACGTCACCTGAAATCGCACTGCATCCCATAAACGTGAGGAACGCATTCTGTAATTCGCTTATTAGGTAGGTCGACATTTCATAATGACGACATCGGGCGGGAACTGCATTTTTACTGCCGTAAACATTGGCTGCTTATGGAATGGCAGCCTTTTTGTGCCCGGAGCCGGTAAACGCGCCTGTTAAAGTTATTGCCCATAAAACTACATTCTGCTCAGCTTATCGCTAGGTGTAAGCAAATTGTAGTTTCAGTTTTATACGAGTTAAGTCAGTTTCTCGCAGATGTAGAAAAGCAGTAAATCTTTTGTTTGATTGATTACTGAAAAACTAGAGCAGAGACAAACATAATATTATAGTTCTCGTATGCAATGTTAGCGGCGATTAAGTATGGGTTCAATCAATCTTCTTATTCGTCTAGTGTGCTTTGGAAGATCACTGTTATAAGTATACCTATCAACAAAGTTGTTGTAACAATTTGCACAATTTGTACCCCTATCTGCACAAGAAAACTGCAACAATACATTCATGCAATTTCATTGCACTTCTTAGGTAGAATAGAAACAATGTACGCAATTATTTTTTATTGACGGATGCCAATCCAAATTGATGGCGATCTTGGTTTGTAAACACTGCTCTTTATAATGACGAAAGTGAATTTCAGAGCTTGCTTGTTATTCCAGCCGGAGATAACACAAAGTGTCGATTTCTCGCGCACTGCAAACACGCGGGACAATATTATGTTTGGTCACTTTGCCTTGCAGTTGTTTACGATCGACTTTTATGCGCGAGTATGTACACGTGCAAAACACATAAGCCTCTCCCATAGGGTTATCACCACACAGAATGCTATCACCGCTGCCGCAGAACGCCAAACAAACTATGATCTTAATTATGTATTTCTAAAAAGGTGCAATATTTAGGGTTCTTTCTACTACTTTTCTCGCCTTATCTCTCCTTTATAGCAATTTGACTGAATTTTTAGCATTTTCAGTCTTCTCTTCGCTCTGATGGCAGCCCTAGGCACAACTCGTTAAACATTACATCACTGAGGGCTCGTGGAGTGTTTATGTTAGCTCAGCAATCATCGGCGGCATGACAAGTCTGTCACCTTGTGTTGACGTCGGTTTAAGGTTTGGTAGTTTACCGATAGATGTCACCGCGCGCTAGATGACAGGTAGTTCACGCAGTTTGGCCAATAGATGGCACCTATTAGATTAAGGCAAAATATTAGCGCGCGGTGTCCAGATTTTTTGCCCGCCCTTTATATATAACCGAGGAAATAATAAAGTTGAATTCAGTTGACCTCAAGACGGTGTTTGATTCACTAGTTAGTAGTACCCCTAGTCAGTGTAGGAGTGAGTGATAGGAGTGATAACGGCTAGGAGTGCTCAGGGTGAGGGAATTCCACCCTCTCACTACGGGAGGGTTAAACATGGTCCTTCGAGCCGGATGCTAGTGAGGAAGTACTAGCGTCCGAAGGAGTGGACTCCTCCTCCACGAGCAGTGGACTGCTGCTGTGGGGCACCCCAGAGGTCCGCAGGAGGACTTCAGACGGCGCTGAGCGTAGCCAGCGTACGTCAGGATCGGTGCCATCGGAGGACGGAGGAGGGTCCTCGGGCAGCCCTCAGAGGCTGCAACGGGAGTACCCCACGTTCAACTCAGAGGCCCAGAAGAGGACCTCAGACGGCGCTTGGCTTGCGGCTCGGCGCGCGTCAGGATCCAGTAACGTGGGAGGACAGAGGGGAGTTCTGCAGCCCTACTACAGAGGCTGCAGCTGGAGGAGGACGCCGGTCACATCAGAGGTCGGGAGGACCTCAGACAGCGCAACAAGTCGGCGCGTCAGGTTTGGTGACCAGAGGACGGAGGAACGCCCTCAGAGCAGCCCTCCTGCCAGAGGGAGAAGGAGGTTCGTCATCTCTACGTAGCGATTCGGCATAATTCGTGTGAAGTTGTCACTGTAAGTAAAATTTTAATTGTCAGTGTGTGTCAAGTGTCAAGTGTCAGTGCGTTTCGAATTTATTTTGACAAGCGATTTACTTTTTAAAGACTTTATTTTTAAATTTAGATTTATTTTGTTTATTGCTTATTGTTTTTTAAATTTCGTAAAATGGCGAAACGCAGGGAATTCAAAACTGAAATAGAAAACGTAATGCGCTTTCAGTATGACATTTATAAACGTCTTGAGAAAAATAAAGTAAATTTCAATAAATTATCAGCAAATCAAATTTCAAAGGAATACATAGAAAATATAATAGAGTTGGTGGAACAGTTATGGGCTGAATTCTCATCAGGCCACCGGGAATTAATGCGTGGTGCAGGGTCTGATGAATTAACTGATTCCTCTTATGTGAAAGATGATTTATATGATAAAATGGAAGAAATGTATACATGGTATAAATGTGAGTTAAAAACCAGTTTACTGAAATTTACTTCGCAGTTGAATCCCTGCTGTTCCCAAGATGGTGCTTCTCAAGTTGTTTCGAAACCGAGTCATCTTAATTTGCCCAAAATTGTAATACCATTATTTACTGGCAAATATTCGGAATGGCCAACATTTTTTGATTTGTTTACTTCATTGGTGCATCATAATGATGACTTAACAAAGGTTCAAAAGTTCCATTACTTAAAAAGTTATCTCAAAGGCGAAGCGGAACAGCTTGTGAAGCACATTTCGATCGCAGAATGTAACTATGACAGATGTTGGGAATTACTGGAGGAGCGATACAATAATAAGAAGTACATATGCCAACAAACGCTGATTAGATTTTTCAATCAGAAACCCATGGTTAATGAGTCCGCACCCATACTGAAAGAACTGATTGACACCACGAACGATTGTATGTCCACTTTACTGAACATTGGTGTCAACGTGGGGAGCTGGGACGTGATTGTTGTACATATTTTGAGTCAGAAATTGGACACAGAAACCAAACGTAGTTGGGAGTTTTACGTGAATAGTCATAGCTCGGCGGATCAGCTACCAACATATTCAATGTTTCAGGAGTTTTTGACAAATAGATACCGCGCAATCGAATTTTTGGTTTCTGGATCCAACACACCTAGGAAAAACGTGACTCAAAATTCAAATAAGTTGAAAGCCCTCCATGTAAATAACCATAGTTGTGTTTTATGTAAAGAAGCACACACACTTGCATTTTGCCCGGGTTTTGCGAAAGAAACAGTTGACAGACGTAGAGATTTCGTGCAGGACAATAATATTTGTTTCAATTGCTTAGGTAGAAGTCACCCAGCTAAGTATTGTCGTATCAAAACAAGGTGTCAGATCTGCAAAAGGAAGCACCACTCACTGCTTCATTCTAATGGGAAATTTATTTCAGAAGCCAGTGAGGATAAGGAGCAAGGGTCTTCGGCAGTAGTCAGTTGTACGCTTACTGAAGAAGCAGGAGGTGCAGAAGGAAATATTACTTCGTGTTTTTCGGCGGATAAAACGGGAAAACAGGTACTATTAGCTACAGCTGTGGTAAATATTGAAGCTAATAACGGAACACGGAGAACGGTACGCGCTTTGCTCGATCAAGGATCGCAGGCGTCATTTGTGACCGAAGCGACGATACAAGGTTTGGGTTTAAAGAAGACAAAGACGAAAAACGTTGTATCAGGTTTGGGAGGAGATAAAAAGGTCATCATCAACTCGACGGTTAACATCAACTTGCAGTCACGGGTCAATCCTGAAATCAAGTTCAAGGTCAAGGCGTACGTGTTAAGAAAGATCACAGCTTTTCTTCCAGCGAAAAAGGTTGGTGACCTGGAAGGTTTGGATTTAACGGGACTTACCTTGGCTGACCCTGAGTACCACACGCCCAACAAGGTGGATATTTTGTTAGGTGCAGATGTGTACGGGCAGATTCTGCAAGAAGGATTAAGGAAGAGTATCCAGGGTGGAGTGATTGCACAATCTACAGCTTTAGGATGGATAATTTCGGGCACGGTTATGGATTCACAGCAGCAGCCAAAGAGTATGATAGTAATGCATTCACTGATTGATGAAAATGATCTCCTTAAGAAGTTCTGGGAACTGGAAGCGGAACCTGAAATAAAAAGAGAAAAAATGTTTACAGAGGAAGAAAAAAGATGTGAGGAGATATTCACAAAGACAACTTCAAGAGACGAGGAAGGGAGATATGTAGTTCGACTTCCCTTGAAGAATGATCCTCCTTGTGTAGACAACTCCAGGGAGATATCTGAAAGGAGATTTCTTTCGTTGGAACGGAAATTCATGAAGAATGAAGCCTTGAGAGAGAAGTACTCTGAAGTGATGCAAGAATACATAGATCTGAATCACATGGAACTTGTACCTGATGATCAAGTTGACAATCCATTGGCTATATACCTTACCCCATCACGCAGTCATACGAGAAGACAGGGAAACGACGAAGGTACGGGTAGTGTACGATGCCTCCTGTAAGGGCAAGAATAATATGTCTCTAAATGATAACCTGCTAGTGGGACCTACCTTACAGTCAGAGCTACGGCACTTGGTGATGCGATGGCGTACGTACCCCGTTTGTCTCACGTCTGACATAGCCAAAATGTATCGGCAAGTGAAGATCTCGGAATCAGATGTGGATTATCAACGGGTACTCTGGAGAGATGACCCTGAAACTGAGATAAATCACTATAGAATGCTAAGAGTGACGTTTGGAACTGCATCTGCGCCATACTTGGCTGTCAAGACATTGCAACAAGTGGCTATTGATGAGGGTGGGAGTTATCCTATGGCAGCGGAGAGTTTTAAGAGATTTTTACATGGATGACCTATTGACGGGATGTCAAACTAAAGATTCTTCTTTAGGATTCAAGATATTTAAGGAAATGAATGAATTGCTAGAAAAGGAGAATTCGAGTTAATGAAATGGACGAGTAACTGTGATGAATTAATAGAAGAGATGAAAAGAGAAACAGGGATGAAAGATTGAAGATTAAGTCAGATGAAACAATGAAGATAGTTGGACTTACCTGGGACCGCAGTGAAGATTCATTCCGTTACGCTGTCAAACTCCCGACGCTGGAACAACCTGTAACTAAAAGGAAAATGATTAGTGATATTTCACGATTTTATGATCCATTGGGCTGGGTAGGGCCAAGCATCATAAAGTCAAAAATACTAACTCGGAAGCTATGGTTAGCAGGGATGGAATGGGATGAAGCTGTACCGACAAATATACTAGATGAGTGGTTTACTCACCGGGAGCAGCTGAAACTGTTGGAGTCAATTAACATACCAAGATGGGAATTTTGTTTTGACTCCTGGTCATTTCCTTGTGGGAGAACCTATTGTTACGGCTCCTGATAAGAGTTACGAGTCTCATAATGTGAGTTCTTTAAGGCGGTGGCAGTATACTCAGAGAATGCTGCAAGAGTTTTGGAAGGTATGGTCTCGTGAGTACTTAACAAAGTTTTATAATCGGTACAGGTGGTCATCACAGCAGCCTCAGCCACAGGTGGGCGATGTCGTGTTGGTGAAGGAAGACGGATTACCGCCCTGCCGCTGGCTATATGGTAGAGTTCATGCTGTCCATCCGGGACAGGACAATTTAGTTAGGGTAATAACGCTTAAAACAAAAAATGGGACAATTAAGCGCCCAATATCTAAGTTGTGTCTGCTTCCAATAGAGACTGATATGTAAATAGGTATAAGATAATATAAGTAGGTACTCTAAGGTAGTTGAATAGTTTGATTTTAAGTTAGTAATTATCGGGTAGATAATTTATGTTTGTTTGTCAGTTAAGGAAGGACAAATTGCATAATTGTCCTTGGTGGGCGATTATGTTGACGTCGGTTTAAGGTTTGGTAGTTTACCGATAGATGTCACCGCGCGCTAGATGACAGATAGTTCACGCAGTTTGGCCAATAGATGGCACCTATTAGATTAAGGCAAAATATTAGCGCGCGGTGTCCAGATTTTTTGCCCGCCCTTTATATATAACCGAGGAAATAATAAAGTTGAATTCAGTTGACCTCAAGACGGTGTTTGATTCACTAGTTAGTAGTACCCCTAGTCAGTGTAGGAGTGAGTGATAGGAGTGATAACGGCTAGGAGTGCTCAGGGTGAGGGAATTCCACCCTCTCACTACGGGAGGGTTAAACACCTTGTAAAGAAGTACAAACAAATATAAAAACTCAGTAGGTACAATTGACTAACGCAAATGTTTTGCTTCCAAACGTTGGCTGAGTAGTCAGAAATTGCATATTTTGTCTTATTTTATCATATTGTCTGGGTTTGCATAGGTCGTATTTGAATATTTCAATGTCAAGACCTACATGAATAATCAGTATAATATTTTTCCCATTTTCTAAAATTCATTATTTTATTATTCTGTCATCTTCGAAAATGAGTAAACTTGAAAAAAGAAATAATCTAAAAGGGTAGAGTAGAGAAAATACATACGTAAATCCTGAATCGATAAAGATTTATACATTTGCATTGATACAAGCTGAATAATGAAATAAACATTAAACATATCAGCTGATAGGCGATCGTCGCGTCGTCGGGCGCTTCTTTTGTTTCACTTGCCGCGCTATCGATCGCAAATGGGTTGATAACGATTCCGCCGTCTTTGAGTTACGATTAACACTGACCGATCTTTACTTGATAGATTCGAAAGTATTTTTCTTTTATTATCGTCGATTGTGTTATTATGACGAAACTAAAGAATATGCTTTTTCTCTACCCCTTCTGGATTACCCACTTATTTTTCCTGTAGTTCGCCCTTTACACCAACTACATAAATTGCTCTCCTAAATAGAGCAGATTCGTCTGAAATAAAACTCCCGTACCGCCCGCCTTCCTTTGTTTCCCCCCATGGCCGGTGGCGTATCGTCAATCACTGCAGTAGTCCCTGAATTCCCTGATACTATCACTGACGAGACGCGATATAGACGTAACACATTAGTACGTCATTGTTTTTGGCTATCTCCCAATTTGTGCAATCTGACTAATAGCACAAAAAATCAGCTTCTTGTCTTTATTTTTATTCTATCTCAAACAAAAGTAATAAAATTTCAAATTCGGTATACCAATTACTAGTTATGATATTGTGAATATGATAGCATTTACCTACTGGATATTATGTATTGATTGAATCCTTGAAACCCTCGTCCTCGAAACACTGGGCCAAGGATTAAGCCGCTGCGCGCTGGTGGCGTGCCATATTCGGCCATTGCGGGAATGCCCGCGCAGTCACTAGCCGAGCCTTTGACCGCGCCGTATTAGGGATGGAGTGCCCATCTGTTAGTCTGACAGTAATCGCTAACTAAACCCAATAAAAAACTAAATACCCGTCCATTAATTTTTTGCCAAACGCAAAATACTACACATGCAAAAGCTTAAATGCATATTGGGACTTACCTGCGTGACAAATTTACTTTACTTGTACTGTATTACTTATCTATTCTGTGACTCTACATAAAAAAATAACATCTCTTTTCAACATGACGAATATATCTGATTTTGATTATTTCCAGAGTAATAGTTAAGAAATTCATTACACGTAGGTACGTAACTATATTATTTTCAATTTTGGATTCTTTTAATAAATATTGATGTTATTATTGTACCTATTTTTGATTGCTCTTGAAATGGAATTCTCTACTCAGTGATGCGAATCAAAGTAAAATAAAATAGTAGGTATGTGTTACCTTCCTAAACGCGAATGTGTTACCACGAAAGTGAGCGGCTATATCGCTTATTTGGAAAACATTGCAGATTTTATTATAACAAATGTTTTCAGAAGATTTCACAGATTTATTTAATGCGAAATAATTGAAATGTTATTAGTGAACACAATGATTGTTCACTACAAATATCATTGTGTTAAATCAATTAATATTTCAGATATTGAAAATGATATCTCAGACGAAGAAGCGATTTCATTGAAAGAATGTCGGACACGGTCGTTAAAAAATCTGTGTTATGCTTTTGACAACAAGCCTAACGCCACGGCCCACGACGGATAATTGCAGTGTAATTACGTGATACAATACTACACAACACTTGTCCGCGTGTTTTTTTTTTTTTTATCCACAATGAGGAAGCTCTTGATTTGAGTGTTGATTGTTGACACAGGCTCGCGTGACTCGTGGCCAGGGTACTGCACGAAGGGTGCCTTAAGGAACGTGTCGAAACCCGGGTCGTATCGTAGAAGCAAAAACTAAAATCCATAATTAAATATGGTGTCTAAATAAAACAAAATGTAATTATATTTTCAGGATTGTAAAAAAACACTTCCAAACAAACCTGAATATTTATTTAGTGTTACTTTTGACTCATACAAGCGGTAACCCTACCCTTGAGAGCAGCGAGACTGCGCGGGCGCCGCTGAGCCTGTAGCGTAACCACCAATTATCCTCCGTCTGAAGCGCGTGCGGTGAAAACGAAAGCGAAATCTGCCCAAAATTCATTACGGCACTGCTCCTCGCTTTTATTCACGTGAATAATACATGAGAAACAAGAACTCTACAGTAAATCTTTATAAACAAGAAGTGACGAATAAAATCTATTTATAGATTTTGTTTGTTATTATTTTGAGATACTTGTTTGTAGAGATCCTTTACGGTGTTTATTTTTGATTGGTTGATTTGATTTCCCACATGAGGACTTCTCACTTCTCGAAAAGGTTAGATATAATGTTTTGAAGAGAACATCTTCGAATCATCTTGACATACCTACTTGTATTTAAATGGATAAGTATTTTGGGGGTTCTTTTATGACGTACGAAATGATTGAAACAGTTTCCTAAAAGTGTAATAAAGTTTTGATTTTCGCTGTTATGCATAGCTCTTCCGCACCCAGCTATTTCAATCAATTAAAGTAACACCTAAATCATTGTACCTACTAACGATATTAATTTGCACATCATAAATATGCATTAGGAAGTCTTTGTACAGCCAAACACATTAGAAACAAGACTGCAATGCAATAATAATATAACTTATCTTGGATCCAATTGCGAAGCATGCGCAATTGTAATTTGGGGTAACCTTGCCCAAATGTCCGTCGGATGCGCCACAAAATTGGCCTTATGAGCGATTGTGAAAACTGACTAAGTATGTAATGTCACAGTAAACATGGAAAGAGTAAGATAGGCTACTATGAGGGCTACTTTTATATTCTACTTAAAATGTTACACAAGAAAATATTTCTGACTAACAACTTTCTTGACTTACATTATTTATTAGCTGCCAATGCCCTGTCCCTGAAGTGTTTGTACAAAAGAAATGTACTACCTAAAATACGTTTCTTTTGTACTGAAACATACTTACATAATAGATACATAGGCACATAAAACTTACGTTTACTATGCCTATTTGTATTATGGTATGGATTGGACAATGTTAGTTACATATGACGCAACCGGGGTGCGCTGTCGGCGGCAATTAAAAAGCAATCAGTTTTATTTGTTCAGTGGGCAGAGCGCCCTAGAACATTATCTGATGCTAGCAGCACTTCATGTCTTCCCCTGCGACTGGTTTTCCAAATCTATTCCTTTACTAAAACTTTGTTACCTTTCAATTCACATGTGATTCGGATATGTTTAGATAATACTTTTATTTTTGTTTATATTTTTGCCTTACATTTTATTATGAATCAAATCCACATTACTACCTAACAACCTATTCATTATGTCATCCTAATTAGTCGGAAATCAGTTCCAATGTGTCATTGAGGAAAATTGCCCGTGTAATTTTCATAAATGGCCAGCCCTACTTGGTTTTTGTAATGTTAAGAATATGGCTTATTACGGTAATTACGACAACATAAAATCAAGGCACTTGTTGACAGAAGGCATGGTAATTATCCCAAAAACAATGTTCGCAAATGTCAACAACTCACGTGTAAAACCTGTTAGGCACGAGTTGAAAGATAAAATCTAAGTAAGTATCCATTAATCATACACTTAAATGCTCTTTCCAAAGTATTAGACTGGTTTACAACTAATAATTTGCTATTAAACGCAAAAAAAACCAAATGTTTAAAATTCACTATGCCTAATGTCAAACAAGTTAATACTANATTAGTAACTGTCAACTATGTAATTACTATAAGAGCTAGTTGAAAGCCTAATTTAGGCATTATTTTTGATAAACATATGCGGTAGCAGACATAGAATCAATTTTCATTTTACAGAAAAGAGCTGTTCGGGCAATATACGGTCTTAAACCACGAGACTCGCTTAGAGAAGTTTTTAAAGAAATCAATATATTGACTGTGGCTTCGCAATACATATTTGATAACATTATGTATGTCCGTAAACATATACATTTATTTACTAAGAAAAGTGACGTCCACTCATTTAACACGAGACATAAGAATAAACTTGCTGTTCCATCATTCAGGTTGCATAAGATAGGTAATTCATTCTTGGGGAAATGTATTACCATATTTAACAAAATACCACACAACCTTGTCGAATTGCCAATAAACAAATTTAAGATACATACACAGATAATATAATATACATATAAAAAATACCCTTATGTCCAAAGGGTACTACAAGGTTCGAGACTATATTGATGACAAGGATGCGTGGTCAGTTCAGTCTGCACCTCAGATCATAGAAGGGAATAGATGTGAAACGGGGGCGTGGCGCGTGTCTCCGCGATATGCCCAGAAACGAACATCGCCCGCGACGCCAGGTTAGTCGCGATTCGGTCGTACTGAGGAAATGTTCTCCGATATTGTTGGATAATGCGTCGTAACGTGCAATAACATAAGTGAAACGAAGAACTACAGGAACAATGAAGTCATTTACCCCATGTAAGTATTAAAAATCCATTGGTATTTTGCTTATAAATAAAAAAAACTAAACTTTTTTACGAACGAATTCAGTGCCGTGACATTTACTGCGATATCAAAATTAGTGGTGNAGAGAAACAGGGATGAAAGATGTTCAAGAGGGATTGAAGATTAAGTCAGATGAAACAATGAAGATAGTTGGACTTACCTGGGACCGCAGTGAAGATTCATTCCGTTACGCTGTCAAACTCCCGACGCTGGAACATCCTGTAACAAAAAGGAAAATAATAAGTGATATATCACGATTTTATGATCCATTGGGCTGGGTAGGACCCAGCATCATAAAGTCAAAAATACTAATTCAGAAGCTATGGTTAGCAGGGATTGAATGGGATGAAGCTGTACCGACAAATATACTGGATGAGTGGTTTACTTACCGGGAGGAGCTGAAACTGTTGGAGTCAATTAACATACCAAGATGGGTCCACACTGAGGTTAATTGCGTAGTCGAATTGCATGGCTTCTGTGATGCCTCCAAAGAGGCATACGCGGCGGTGGTGTATGTCCGTGTGATCGACTCCCAGGGGAACATTCGTGTGTCACTGTTAACTGCTAAAACAAGAGTTGCACCAGTCAAGCAGGTATCAATTCCAAGATTAGAGCTATGCGGAGCAGTGCTACTAACACGTCTGATGCTAGATACAGCCAAAGTTTTAGGTGTTGAGAAAGTTAACCTACGAGCATGGACAGACTCTACAATAGTTCTCGCATGGATCAACAGCCACCCAAGTAGATGGAAAGTTTTTGTCGCAAATCGTGTGTCAGAGATCCAGACGAATTGGGATTCCCATCATTGGTCGCACGTCAGCTCTCAAGAAAATGCAGCGGATGCAGCATCACGAGGAGTATCACCTGCAGAATTAGTAGGAAATAGCAGATGGTTCAACGGTCCGGATTTTTTGCATAATAAAACCATCAGGTATGAGAAACCCAAGGATGTGACGACGGATTTGGAGAAGGTTAAATCTCATTGTGCAGTGATAGAGAAAGATATTTGGGAGAGGTTTTCATCTTTTACCAGGTTGAAGAGAGTTATAGCATACTGCAAACGGTTTATAAACAATCTAAGAGTAGAACCTAATGAGAGAAGCAAAGGATATTTGACTACACAAGAACTAACTGAAGCACAAAATGTATGCATCAAGCAATATCAAGCACTACATTTCAAGGATGAGATTTTATTAACCAAACAAAAAAGAAACTTACCAAAAAGCAGTACACTTCGTTCGTTGAACCCAATCTTGGATGATGAGGATATATTAAGAGTAGGAGGAAGATTGGAGCATTCTGGTTTAAGTCACAACCAGAAACATCCCATCATAATACCCAAGAAGTGTCATCTAGCCAACCTGATTATTGAAGATGCCCACAAGCGTACACTCCATGGCGGTCCACAATTGATGATTTGTTTCATTCAGGCTAAATATTGGATCTTGGGAATGAAACAGCTGGTTCGATCATACTTCCGAAAGTGTGTGACATGCGCTAAAAATGCGGCCGTAACTCAGACTCAGCTGATGGGCCAATTACCTGCAGCAAGAGTAACACCAATACGCCCTTTCAGATGTAGCGGCGTGGACTACGCGGGGCCCATACAGATTCGCACTGCAAAGGGACGTGGCCACAAGGCATACAAGGGCTATATTTGTCTTTTTGTTTGTATGGCAACTAAGGCCATTCATCTTGAAGCCGTCACTGATCTCAGCTCTCAAGGGTTTCTGCAGGCGTTTAAACGTTTCGTGTCGAGGCGTGGCCATTGCTCAGATATGTGGAGCGATAACGCAACAAATTTTACCGGAGCAGCTAGCGAGTTGAAACGACTTTTTCAGACGGAAAATGGGTCTATGTTGCAGGAAGTAGCAGAGTCGATAGCCAGTAACGACTGCAATTGGCATTTCATACCCGCGCGGTCTCCTAATTTTGGTGGCCTCTGGGAGGCGGGTGTGAAATCTGTGAAGTATCATCTAAAACGTATTGTGGGACAATCAACATTGACATTCGAAGAGCTGTCAACGGTTTTATGTCAAGTAGAAGCCTGTCTTAATTCAAGACCGATGTCGGTTATTTCAAGCAATGCTGAAGGTGTTTCTGTTTTGACTCCTGGTCATTTCCTTGTGGGAGAACCTATTGTTACGGCTCCTGATAAGAGTTACGAGTCTCATAATGTGAGTTCTTTAAGGCGGTGGCAGTATACTCAGAGAATGCTGCAAGAGTTTTGGAAGGTATGGTCTCGGGAGTACTTAACAAAGTTTTATAATCGGTACAGGTGGTCATCACAGCAGCCTCAGCCACAGGTGGGCGATGTCGTGTTGGTGAAGGAAGACGGATTACCGCCCTGTCGTTGGCTGTATGGTAGAGTTTATGCTGTCCATCGGGGACAGGACAATTTAGTTAGGGTAATAACGCTTAAAACAAAAAATGGGACAATTAAGCGCCCAATATCTAAGTTGTGTCTGCTTCCAATAGAGACTGATATGTAAATAGGTATAAGATAGTATAAGTACTCTAAGGTAGTTGAATAGTTTGGGTTTTTAAGTTAGCAATTATCGGGTAAATGTTATGTTTGTTTTGTTAGTTAAGGAAGGACAAATTGCATACTTTNCATATGTTTGTCTCGAAGCGCTGGTAGGGCCCAAAAGATAAGGAGACATGTAAAGTGCCCCATAAGGGCTACCTTTTTCTTTTTTTATTATTTTCTATTGACGTTCATAAGTGCCACTTGTGGTCTAAACTGAATAAATATTTTTGATTTTGATTTTGATTTTTTTGATTTTGTCTAATTGAAAACTTCAATGTCTCGATAATTGCTGCGATTGAACATTAAAAACTGTATTTAATGTTATGTTTTTATGGAATTATGAGTAATCATTAAGCCTTGTAAACAATAGGTCGATATCACACTTCTGTGCGGTCGTGACCTCTGCATGAGCTTTCAGGGGCTCCACGCAATAGTATCACGCGGACTGGTCAGCTTTTGCAAGGGTTGTAAAATAACTTACTTTGTTAAAATAACTTAACTTCAAGGTGTAATCTATAAAATTAAATAAACATTTAATTAAGCATAGGTTTCATTGATTTCTAAAAACCTGTCTTTCCCTAGGAGATGATGTCTTCGTAGTAACGTTATGCTAAATTTGTATTGACAGGAACCACGTGACAATTATCAAATAAATTGTGTGTGACTCCAGCACCCACGTGCTGTTCGCAAATCGATTCGTGCAGCATTTTTTTAGCCAGCTGAGAGCCGACCCTGGCACCCTAGCACGAGCTTTTGACACGTGTCGTGATCGAAGCGTGCCACGGGCATTAATTGTGCAACAACACGGTGCTAATTAGCAGAAGTTCCACTTTCGATGACGACACGCAGGACCCGTTTCACCGATTATTGCGGGTATGTTTCGAGCTTTTCGTCACGACAGTAAGGGGTAGGCTCGATGGGCGTACTAATTAATGATGATAATAACATTTATTATTGATGACAGCACGTGGACGAAAGTCTATTTCATTAATCGGCAAAATTGTTCACTGAAAAACGCTGGGACTGATAAAAGCTCTTCATAACTTTCAATCTTAATGTTTTTATATGGTATAAGTTCAAGGTCTGTATATGCAATAATAACGTGCGATCGATGCCATTGATTATTCTAATTCCTCAGTAGGGAAATCATTTTTAACATCGGTCAACTACTGGACTCGTGCAAAGGCACATTAGTCATTCTGGTAAAAGGTCGATCCTGGATTTTATGTGGCATATACGTCATCACTTGTATATTTATATGGGTTAGTATTTTATGATATCCGAGGAGTACTGAATTAGCCATTTAGGCGTGTAAACTTCGGCAATGGTAATTGCAGCACCTGAAGTCTGTGACATTGTTACGCCGACTTCTTTATAATCCCGCAGAGAGGTTCCTCCTACCGTAAATAGAGTTCTCTCGTTCCATTACTCCAGCATAGGACATTGTAATCTCGTAACAAAGTAACAACTAGAACCATTTAAAATTTTATTATAATATGGACGTGCACTAAGTCATCGTTCAAATAGATCTGCAATGTTGCGAATTATGAGTACAAGTACATACATGTAAACATTGTCCAGTGCCCTTTGTGTTGGTACTTCATGACGCACGCCGAATGACAGGTCATGCTATTTTCTCTTTGTTGGGTTAACATTGACCTGTGAAACGTACTAAAAACCAACAAAAGTAGCAGTGAGTTGTGACTAAATCATCTGAAATGATATACCTTGCTGCGTGTCTTAAATTCAAGAGCAAATGCTTATAACCATAGAATTATAAATCTAATTAAGCTTATGTCCACGAACACATAAATAATCATTATTTAGCTGGTGACTGGCTGCCTTTCTTGTGACATGAGTTACCACTGACATATTATATACGTACAGCGCCATCTCTTGCCAAACGTTCATAACAGAGTCATTACAAAGAAGCGGCCGTAACACTTGAAAATTTCGACAGGTTCATCCAGTGTCTAAGTAGCTCAGTTGTGGAAGAGCAGTCGCCCGGCAAGCGAAATGTCGTGGTGTTCGATTCCCGCCTTAGGCGGTTCGATTTTTTCAAGTTGTTTAATTAAAACGTTACAAAGAAGTTTGTATTACCACAGATAATATAATACTAGTACAGATGCATCATCCCATACTCGAAATGTGGCCGACCTAAGTCTTGAAACTGCTCGGGCCCGCGTGGTTTCCTAGTGGTGATAACAGATCGCGCTAGTG